CCGATGTAGGACTCGATCCCAGGACCCTGGGATCATGACCTGAGCCGAAGGCAGACACTTAATGACTGAGCCACCCAGGCGCCCTAAGATTAATTTAGAGAGAGAATGAGCAGGAGGGGAAGAGGGAGAGGGAGAGAGAATCCCAAGCAGACACCCCACCGAGCACAGAGCCTGACATGGGGCACGATCTCACGACCCTGAGATCCCGACCTGAGCCAAAACCGAGTTGGATGCTTAACCGGCTGTGCCACCCAGGAGCCCTAGGACTTAAACATCTTTTTCAGGGTGCACAGTTCCATCTGTACCATAATCTTTGTAGAAGCCCCTCAAACTTCCCATGCTTCACCCCACTCCCCACCTTCCTCAGTGCATGACACACCTCATACTTCACAAAGAAAATCAGAATTTTCTTCCCAGTCCTCAACCTTCTGAAGTGTCATTGTCGCCCTGCAACTCCAGCGAAGCAGCTAGGGTCATAGTGACATCTGCATACTCTTGGGTCCTTATCTGATCTCCCCCTCTCTGCACAGTTCCTTACTCTAAGTCTCTTGGGAAACAGTCTGGAGGTGAGAGGGGGCTGAAAATAACTTTGGCCTTGCAGACCCTGAAAAGGCTCTTGGGGTCACCCCAGAGACTGTACTTAAAGAACCTTGGGATCAACAAATTTGACCTCTTGGCCCACTGCTTGTTTTTGTAAATGAAGTTGTATTGGAACCCATTAAAATGCTAGCTAGCAACCAAGCAGCTGTGAGTATGAGGTCATCCTCCTTGATAAGCTGGTCAGCGAGCTCAGTTGAGTGTTAACTGTATATTTTCATAGTGCAGCCAAGAGCAAGCTTGGCGTTTTAATGAAAATTAAGTAGAACATTTCTTAAATAGCTCTTTATATCTTCTAGCTGATCTTGATATCATTGATTAGCCAGAAGTTCCTAGAATAGCTGTCTCTCTTCATAATATGGAATTTACCTCTTGCCTATTGTAGGGTGAGCATGTGCCCAATACCCATATGGAGAGGTCGTTCCGGGTCACTTCCCTGTGCTGGCACCCGACGCGCCTGATCCTGGCTATTGGCTGGGAGACTGGAGAAGTGACAGTGTTTAATAAGCAGGACAAGGAGCAGCATTCGATCCCCCCGACACACACCACCGACGTCACGGTCCTCAAGTGGAGCCCCAACGGGAACTGCCTCGTGTCAGGGGACAGGGTAAGCAGACTTGGCTGACACTGATTTCAGATCCCTACCTTTCCCTGTCAGTGCTCTTTGGGATATACGTTGGGAAGCGTGTTAAAGATCAAAATTTTAGAAATACGTGATTGCTGAATTCAGTTGATCTTGATGGATGTGATGGCAGATTCTGTTTCATACTGGAAGCAAGGTTTGCAAATTTCATTCTACCATCCCACTCTAGCAGAGGTATGTCTGTAATTGTTTAAGTGAACTTCTCTAGGAAACTGTATTCATAAAGGTGGGGTGACTTTTTCAGGTAGTATCATTTTATGGCACCCCTGAATCACTAGCTTCCCTGAGCATGCTTCTTCATTGCCTGGGAGGCCCTGGTGTTCATTGTCTAGCTCAGGGCTTCACGGGGTCATTTTGCCCCCAGGGGACATTTGGCAGAACCTGGAGACATTTTTTGTTGTCAGAATGGTGGTGGGGCGGGGGTGTCCTGACATCTAGAGGGTGGAGACCAGAGATACTGATCAACATTCTGTAATGCACAGGACAGACCCCACAGCAGAGAATTATCCAGCCTAAAGTGTTAACCGTTCCCAGGTTGAGAAACTGTGGTCTGCACCTAAATCGATTCATAAACATATGGCAGAAATTTTACAATGTACTCATTCATTTTACATGTGCCAGGTAATATGTTTCCCTGTTTCAAAGTCTGAGAAGTATGAGAAGGTATATATATATATATCGTGGCAAGACTCTCCACCCCTACCCCATCTCCTCCATTCCCCTCCCACCCACCCTCAGTGCCCACAGCTTCGTAAAGCTTCTGTTTCTTCAGATACGACCCAGCACATCCAAATGCATTCTTTCCCCAGTTTCCAGTTTTTGATAAATTTGAAACTTCCAGAGGCTTTGAAAGGATAATTTAATGAACACTATATACCGTTTATGTAAATTCATTAGCTGTTACCATTTTGTTACATCTACTTTCTCTCTATATATATTTTTTCCCCTGAATATTTGAGAGTTTGTCACAGACATCATGCTTCACCCCTCAGTCCTTGGATGTTGCTCTCTTGGGGACAAGGATGTCGACACAGTTGCACCATGGCATTTGCACTCAGGAAGCCTGGGCTGAGGCTGGCACCTGGGACGTAGGCCACTTTCCAGTTTCTCCAGTTGTCCCGGCACTTTTTTGGTGGATATTGTCCTAATGTAGAGTCCAGTCAAGGACCATACATTGTGTTTTTCCACCCCTTCTCTTTAGTTTCCCTTAATCACGAACAGGTCCCTGGTCTGTCTTTTCTTTCTTCGCTTATGTTTGGTCTTTGGTGACACCGACATTTTGAGGAGTCCAGACTGGTTACTTTGCAGAATGTCCTTCAGTTTAGACTTGTTGGATCATCTCCTCATGGTTACTTTTAGATGAGGTGGTTTGGGCTGGAAATACCACATGGAGGGTGTTGTCTCCTTCGTCTTAACAAAAGTGATACCACACGACGTGCACTGCACAATTTCTGGCTTTTACATTTTACGTCTGCCTTGCATGTCTCTCCACATTCGTACACCGTGACCTTCCTTCTCTCTAAGCCTGTGCATCGTTACTTGAGCCTGTTACCATGCCCTTCACCGGCCCTTGCTGATAAGCACGTCGGTGGTTTCCAGTCTTTTGCTAAACAGACAGAGGTACGGTAGCTAACTTCGTGCTTACGTTGTTTCTCGTGCGGGGAAATCAGTGAAAGTCCTACAAGTGGGGCGGCTGGGTCCCAGGGCGTGAGCATTAGTGGTGGGTGCCCAAGACTCCCTCTGTGGGGCTAGTACCAGATCCCACCAACACACCAACATGTCCCCCACAGACAGTTGGATCCACATTCAGAATTTTGCTAAGAAAAGTGCCATATCAGAAGTCTTCTAATTTACATTTCTCTTGCTATTGAGGAGACTATTGCTTAGAAGAGCCAATTATGTATCCTTTGTAATCAAATCACTTGCCCATTTTGGTATCAATTTGTTCCCCTTTTTTCTAGATTTTCCTTCTTTTTTTTTAAGATTTTATTTATTTATTTGAGTTACAGAGAGAGTGAGCAGGTGAGAGAGAGAGAGCACAAGCAGGGGGAGAGGCAGAGGGAGAGGGAGAAGCAGACTCCCCGCCGAGCAGGGAGACCGATGTGGGGCTCGATCCCAGGACCCTGAGATCGTGACCTGAGCCGAAGGCAGATGTGTAACCGACTGAGCCACCCAGGCGCCCCTAGATTTTTCTTCTGTTTTTCAATTCAATTTCCATCTAATGGCATTGCCCTGCCCTCAAACTTCTAGTTGCTTCTTGATCTTTCCCCTCTCCCTGCTGTGGAATACTCGGCAGATCCTCTGTAGGAATAAAAGAACTCAAGATCATCAAATCTCATCATCATCTTGACTATATTAAACAACTAACAAAGCAGATTCTTCAGGCATGCAAGGAAACCCAGGTTTGTGCTGTCAAAGCCCTCTGAGTCAATATATTTAAGAAGAGAAATCCTGATCCTTCCAAGAAAGTCTAAGATGGTGCAGGTCCTGATTTAATAATGGGCTCAAGCAAGAAAAGTACTGAATGAACGAGCACTTGGAGTGCTGCACCACCCAGAGCCATCCTTACCAGGCTTGGCTGAGGGTCTTCCATCTCTCGCCAGAGACCGTTTAGGTTCGGGTGGGTTTGGTTACCAGTGAAACCAACCCAGACTACCTGAAGTAAGAAGGGACACTTAATCGGAAGCCATTGGAGTATCCCAAGGTCCCTGGGACAGGAGGACAGCTGGCTTCAGGACGTCTAGACCAAGAATGAGGTGCCAGTGGACACACATCCCCCTGCAGTGTACCCCTTCTGCCACAGCCATGTCTCTCCGCTGTCCCACCCCATTCAGAAGGCAGCACCCCAGCTGCTAGAAAGTAAGGCATTCACACCCCCCCATACACCCAGGGACAACTGCCCCTCCCCCTCTGTCCCAAGTCCCACTCGAGCCCAGTGACCACATGGACAGCAGTAGGCAGTGCCCAGGGAGGTGGGGGGCCCTGGAAAAGGGGCACTGGGCGGATGCTGCCCCAAGTGTCCTTTAGAAGAAACTCCATTGGTGAAGATGGGAATACTGCCTGGACCAGGTCTCGCTTCCCTGCACACTCACAGAGCTGGGTGGGGGCGTCAGCACACCCAGTACAGAGCGAGCCAACTAGGGACAATTTCAGTGTAAATTATTAGAGATCCTCTTTTAGGTTCCCAGAGCCAGTTCCAGCGTACTGGCCGGTGGGGCTCCTCAGATACCACAGGGTGCCCGCAATTCCCCTCAGTTGTGACACTGTCCACCCAGAGATAGCGTCAGCCCCACAGGTGAGGGGCTCAGCCCCACACGGCCGCCCCCACCCCCTCCCCAGTCCTGTGCTTCTGATCACAGGCTGCACGGTGGAGTGTCCCTCTCCTTGGGCTCTTCCAGTTGGCTAGAGTGGCTCACGTTACCAGTTTATTGAAGGGTAGGATAAAGGAGACGAATCAACAGCCAGAGGAGGAGATGCACAGGGCAAGGTCTGGGGAGGGCGCAGAGTCCTCTCTAGGTGCCATTCCCCGCAACACCTCCAGGTGGTCAGCTACCTGGAAGCTCTCTGAACCCAGTCCTTTTGGGTTTTTATGGAGCTTCATTGCATTGATTCAACCTGGGGAGGGGGGCCCTGTCCCCTTCCTGGCAGTTGGGGTAGGACTGAAAGTTGAACCCTCTGATCACTGGTTGGTCGTCCTGGCATCCCACCCTGCCCTTGGACGGAGACCAAAAGTCTCCTTCAGTAACAGAACAGAGGACACCTCTGTGGCCCTTATCCTGGGAAATTCCCAGGGTTTTAGCAGCTGTGAGCCATGAACCAGTGGTGAAAACCTATATGTTTGGTCACCAAACATATACTTCTTTTCAGTTACAATGTTATAGATCCTAACATGTGACTCATCATTTGAAGAGATAGTATGTCTCGACAGGGGTACATAGAACACACTAACTTCTCCAGAACCTCTTATTACATTAAACTCTTGCTCTTGCATAGGGATGATTTCTTGCCTTCAGGGGGTAACTTGTCTGAGGTTGATTGTACAAAATTGTTTTGGATGAGGTAGCCACAAGGGGGATGGGACAGCTCAGGATTTGTCTATTCTGTAACCCCTGGTTATCCAGAAACCTGAGGGAGAGCACATTGGACTCATTGTAACTTTTCTAAGAGATTTACTGTGCAAGTTGCTTTGTAAGGCCGACATTACAGTTGATTCTCAGACAGCTTGGGGGTTAGGGGCATCAACCTCCTGCCAATCAGAAATCTGAGTATAGCTTTGACTCCCCAAAAACTTACCTACTAATGGCCTACTGTTGACCAGAAGCTTTGCCGATAACATAGTCAATTAACACATATTTTGTATGTTGTATGTATTACATACTATTCTTACAATGAAGTAGGTTAGAATAAAGAAAATGTTAAGAAACTCATAAGGGGGGCGCCTGGGTGGCTCAGCCGTTAAGCGTCTGCCTTCAGCCCAGGTCATGATCCCAGGGTCCTGGGATCGAGCCCCAAGTCGGGCTCCCTGCTCCACGGGAAGCCTGCTTCTCCCTCACCCACTCCCCCTGCTTGTGTTCCCTCTCTCACTGTGACTCTCTCTGTCAAATAAATAAATAAAAATCTTAAAAAAAAAAACAAACTCAAAAGGAAGAGCAAATACATTTACAGCATTATACTTTATTTGTCAAGAAAAATCCACATACAAGCGGACCCATGCAGTTCAGACCCGAGTTGTTCAAGGGTCATCTGTATCTGGAAACCACATTCTTGTTTACGATAAAGTGGTGCTCCCCAGCCTGCCTGCGGGGATATTGGAGACCCTGCTGATTGAAAGAAGGGTAGGAGGGAGAGGCTATGTGCTCCTATGTCCACTGACCTTGAGCAGGAGGCACACCTTGAGGAACCCTTGGGCCTCACAGCAAAGGGTCTCTTTGCAAATGGATTTGGATAGAAATAGTGCCCTTTGGCAAAGCATAGCTTACATCCTGGCCAGAGGCCTCCTGGACTGGTTCTGATGGTGCCATCTCCCTACCCTGACCTCTAGCGCTGGTTGGCACCTTCAGTTTGAGACCTTGATGAGTTAAAAACTGAACCTAGAGTACACCTGGCACCCAGATGCTGGTTTCTTTGGGTTTCCTCCAATAACGGGAGCCAGGGCTCCTTGGAGAAATAGCTGATTTTAGAACCGGGGCCGGACAGTGAGCCCAGAGAATCTTTAGTTCCAGAAAGAAAGGAAGTGCTCACAGAACCCAGAGTACGGGGTGTGTCAGAGGGACACAGAAGCTAACAAAAGACCTCCCAGTGGCCAAAGCTGGAACATCAAAATAAAGTGGGGCTGGATTGTAACCTGAAGTCAAAAGTCAACATCTGTGACATAAATTGTATAACCCTATGATTTCTAATTATTAAGTCAGTGGTGGAGAAGAGACAAATCTCATGTGCTGAGGAACACCAAATGATTTATGGAGATGGTTCATGCTCAAGGAGGTGACTTCCTTCCAAACAGTATGGGACCAAGAGGGGGAGGAAGAAGGACTTCACAGGGGACAAGGTCACAGATGGGAGGTCACAGGAGGGGCAGCTGCAGCACAGATGAGTCACGTCGACGGCACCGACCCCAATGTGCCACGCCGTAACGAGGAGGAGGGCGCATGGTGTCTGTGGCCTTCTCCCCAAACCCACAACTCAGTCCAGTCATGAGAAGAGCATCAACCAAGGCCCAGTGGAGGGACGTTCCACAGCATCCCTGACCAGTCCTCAAAGCCGGGGAGCCAGAGGAGCCTCGGGACGTGACGCCAAAATGTCCTGTGGCTCCTGGAGGGGATCTGGGGACAGAAAGCAGGCGGCAGGGAGGAACTGAAGAAATGTGAATAAAGCACGACTCTAGTTAATATAATATGTCAGTATTGGCTCTTTAATTCTGAGAGCTGTCCCACACTAAGTACGATCTGCTAATTGGAGAAGCTCGAGGTAGAGAATGGGACTTCTCTGAATGACCCTGCCACTTTTTGTAAATCTGAATCTACTCTGTTTTAAAAGCTAGACACGTGACCATTGTTGTCTCCAGGGGAGAGGGCACATGGGAAGGCTTCTGGTTTCTTTGCGGAAGATTTTTGAATTATTTGTACTTGACCGTGTAAGTGTAGTAGTTTTGTAGTTTGGATTAAAAGGACTAAGCCTGTGTTCTGTGACACAGCATAACTCTTGCCTTCCACCGGTCACTGGTAAGAATGTGTCTCCTCCACATGGTATTGGGTTTTCCAGCTTGGTGTCCTGCTCTTGTGGAGGTTGGACCAAAGGGGTCGAGTACAAGGGACGCCCCTGCTGAAACACGATCACGGAAAAACCCTAACTCACTGCATCTTCCGGCTCCCCCCTCCTGGCGAGTAAGTAGGAGCTCAAGTGGTGGCCTTGTCTCAACATCCCTAGGGGCTGGTGCCGGGCGGGATGTGGCTCCTCCTGATGGGATCATAGCTCCCCTCCGCCCTGCTCTGGGCCCATCAGTAGTGACCACACCTTCCTATAAGGAACATCTTCCGGTAAGGAATCCTGACTTCCCGTCATATCTGCCTTTCAAAGGGACCTCGTTCAGTTGGCGAAGGCAGCTGTGAGCGGTGATGAGAGAGCCCTGGACATGTTTAACTGGAGGAAAAGTGGCTTTGGAAGTTTCCTGAAAATGGGATCTCAAGAGGGACTACCATTCTTTGTCAGCTTGATGGATGGTGAGAAACTTAGGTGGGGACTCTAGGACATTGAAGCATTTTAGGGGTTCTGGTAAGGATTTTAAACAAAGAGATGATGTTTCTGCATAGTATAGTAGGCTGTGTGGGGGCCGGTTTTAGAGTGATGCGTCCGCTGCTCTCGGCAGTTACTTATCCAGTGTTGAGAGGAGGGCCTCACTTTGTCCTGATAGAAACGAATCGGCTGTGCTCGTGTTTGGCGGGCTCTCGCGAGGGGGCTCTCCGCCAGCCAGTGGTCCTCCCGACTGCTCCCCTGTGCAGCTCCAGGCAGCATTCGTGGTGCCGCGCTCCACTCTCTGCTCTGTGGGGGCGGGAAGCATCCTTCCCTGTAATTCTTTGGCCAAGCTCTGGGGAGGGAGCGCGACAGGACAGGATGGGAGCGGGCTTTGCTTCCAGGCTGCAGCACCAGCCAGCCTCTGCCGGTGGCCAGCGTTGAGTCCACTGTCTGGACTTTGACTCCTCCTCAGTGTAAGCAGGGAGACAGGCCAGCAACAGCAGAGAAATGCAGTGTGAAGTGAGGGGGGAGAATAGTGCTTTGCCTTCACGGGAGGCACTCACATGTGTGTCTGCTGCAGGAGCGAGAGCAAGAAAATGCGGTTCATGAAGGTGGTGAGCTTCCGGAGGATGTGCCACCACACAGCTCAGCCTTGATGGGAAGGAGAGAGCAGAGGACAGCTGGAAGGGGCTAGAGCCTTCGTCATTTTTAAAATAGGGATACTGTTTGTTTCTGGAGGTCAAGAGACAGCTGATGGAGGGGACTTTGAGGCGATCCCGAGGGACAGGAGTGGGCATGGAGCCTTGGGCTGTGTGGGGAAGAAGATGCTAGCGCAAGGCCCCCTTAGCAAGGAGTCGAGAAGATGGTGTGGGAAGAAGGCCTAGCAGACAGGGTTGTGCAGTGGGGACAAGCCTGGCTCTGGAGGAGTCAGTCCTGTCCCTCACTCAGGAGCTGTGGGCTTCGGAGGCAGATTACCCGTCTAGTCAGACTCCTGCTGTGAGCTCACTGGAAATGTCAGCTGAGTGAGCATGTGTGAGTGTGTCGCCAGGCCTGCCACCGAGGCTCACTGAGGCCAAGGCAGTGCCAGTGCAGTCATGTCATGCTGACCACGGGCCTCTGCACAACCTTGAACCTGCCAGTTGAATGGGAAGTCAAGTATTCCTTGGAAACAGATGAGAGGAGACCAGGAGGTTGAGGAGGCTCCTGAAAGCAGCAGAAATGAGTCGCTTCATGGGTGCTCACAGGAGACTCCCCATGGACGCAGCAGCCCGAAGGGAACCTGGAGGGCAAGGAAAGGCTGGCAGGCTGGGCCAGGCAAGGGAAGAAAGGCCTCTGGGCCAGGACGAGTGCCTGCAGAGACTGAGAACGCAGGCAGGAAAGCCAGCCCACCAGCACATGGGCCACAGGGGGGACAGGGAGCAGCAGCTGCAGGAGGGCTGAAGCGGCTGCTGCAGGGCTGTAGCGGCTGCTGCAGGGCTGTAGTGGCTGCAGCAGGGCCGAAGTGGCTGCAGCAGGGCGGTAACTCTCAGCCGCCACGTACCGCTGATGGACATGCCTGGCACGTGAGCACACCAGGGTGAACAAAGTCTCAAGGCTGCTGGGCAGGTCAGTGGGGCTGAGAAGGTGGAGCTTATTTCAGAGATGCCCTGGGGGTTATGTGCAAATGTTGTAAATTTTTATAACAAAGATGTTTATTTTGCAAATATCCCTAAGTAGATTCTGGTGGCTGCTGGTGAGTGCACTGCCGCCTGGACTGACCCCTTTGCCCTTAGGGACGGTGCACTACGTGGATGAGAAAGGCAAGACCACGCGGGTGGCTTCCACAGACAGCTCCGTCCAAACACTCTTCTACATCGAGGAAAGGGAGGCCCTGGTGGTGGTCACGCAGAACCTGCTGCTGTCTCTGTATGTAGTGAGGCCTGAGGGCAAAGCCGCGGAAGTGATGAAGGTAGGCAGGACCGTGGGCAGCAGGACACGGCCAGGGCCAGGCTTCACCTTACTTCACCACACCCACCAGAGCTGTCCAGTAGTATCGCCTACACGACTTGCTTCCCAGGAGCTTTGCAGGTTCCATCAGACGGGGGTGAGAGAGTCTGGGCTCGCTCAGGGCTACACCCCCTCAACTGGCTAGCTCACGGCCTGTGCACCCGGCTGTGACTCAGAATAACCACTCACCTTGCAGCAGCTCATTTGACCTTCAGGATGGAAACAGGGTGGACGGGCACATCATCCTGCTTTCCATCTGTGCGTAGATACAGGTCCTCGCTTCTGTCACGGCTGCCCCCGGCCCAGGTGCACACAGGTTGTTTTGCCCAAGGGTACATCAGTCCCCGTCCTGGGCAGCAGGTATTTGGCTGCGGCTGCTGGGAAACGGGAGAACTCCGTACAGGTGCCTCTCGGTTCTGCCCTGGGCTCTCACCGACGAGAGGACGCTGTGGGGCGCGCCCCTATGCTGGGTGCTATTCCAAGGGTGCAGCTCACCAGGGACCGGTCCTCCCTGCTCTCCTTCCAGTTCCCTGGTTTATACCAAAGAAATCTGTGTTCCTCGGAGAATTTGAAATTTCCCTGAAGATACTCTTGTAGATGACGGAGCTGATTTTTTGTAAGCCAGTGTTTACATAGTCATTTACATACCCCTGGCACAGTAGTGGAAAAGAGAGTCTCTGAGTCACCTGGACCTGGGTTCAGATTCCCTTAAGCCACTCACTGGCTGGGGGCCCCAGGCAGGTTTGCTTTCTGCAGAACAGGGTCATGACACCTGCTCAAGAGTGTGTGGTCATGCCTGAACTGGGCTCAGCATGGTGGTCGCTCTAGAAATGCACTTACCAGGTGCCATGCACGTGGCAGCTCTCATTATCAACCACTTAATGCACAGCAGAGAGCAGCAGTGCAGGGTCAGGGCTGCCTTCCCACATGTCCACACCTGGCACCTGCCCAGCTGGAGTGTCCCCCCCAGGCCACAGCACACCAGAGACTCTGGGCTCACAAGAGCAACATGCTTCTTTCGGATGTGTCTTGTTATCAGGTCAAGTTGAGTGGGAAGACGGGTCAGCGGGCCGACATTGCATTGATTGAAGGCAGTGTACTTGTGACCGCCATAGGGGAACCCGTTCTCAGGTAAGAGCCTGGCCCGCACTGCCACTAAGATTCAGTCTCTTTGGAGTAATGTTCTTATTGGAGTGTAAGGTACAGACAGATTATGATGAACTTCCACAAATTGGAAGTTCACATATAACCAGCTCTGAGATTGAAGAGCACAACATACCACAGACCCCAGGCACCCGCACTTGGCCCTCACAGGGTAGGCTCCTCACTGTCCTGATGGCTGTGTGTGGAATCTCTTTGCCTGGTTTTTTGAGCTTGGTGTCGGTGGAATCGTGTGTTGTGTTTGCTTGTGCAGCTGCTTCAGTTCCGTGTGATGTTGGGGGTGGTTCCCCCATGTTACTGCGTGTGGTTGGAGTCCCTTTGTTCTCATTATGAGCTGGTGTCACACATGAACCCCCTGCTCCCTTTGATTATGAACAAGGCATCGAATAGATGTAAACGTGTTGCTGGCAGGCCATTCATATCGGAGTCCCAGGGCCTGTGTGCACTTCCTGAGGGCTCTGCCAGTTGAGCGGGACCCTCGGGGCTAAGGGCGGCACACTGATGTGGCCCCTGAAGGGAGCTGTCTTCCTTTCATTGTAGATTTTGGGATTTAGAAGGCGGAGAGAATTACGTGCTGAGTCCAGAGGAGAAGTGTGGTTTCGAAAAAGCTGAGAATATAAACTGTGTTTCTTACTGTAAAGCCAAAGGTGAGACTTCTCAGGGCTGGTGCAGGAGAGGGAGGGAAGCAGCCTCAGGCCTTGCTCTGGGGGCTGCAAAATGATGACATGACTGCAGCCCTTCAAAGAATGGCGAATTGGTGGTGACTGTCAGTCACTTGAAAGAATCTCTCGGGAACGAGAAAGTGACAGTAAAGCTTTGCTTGCACACACGAAGTTCAGGGAGTTTGCTCAGCAGGGTGAGTTGACCTCTGTTCCCTCCTGAAACCGTGAGAAAATGTGTGGGAAATATTAAAAATACCCGTGCATGTGTATGTGCCTATATACACACGTGTGTGTGTATACACACACACACATGCGCGCGCGCGCGGAGGACAGAGAAACAGGAGATGAACCGGACACCGTTTATTTCGTGCCTGCTGAGCGCTAAGTGCCACACTAGCCCTGGGGAAGCAGCACTGACCAGGCAGACAGGCCCCTGCTCTCGTGGGAGACTGAGAGAAAACAGCACCAACACCCCCAGCACATGCACACTCACCCTCTTCCCAGGGGGGAGCAGCTATGGAGCTGGAGGCCACTGGGCAGAGGGCTGATGCCCGGATGTTTGAGAGCCATGGTCAGGAAAGAGATTCCTTCAACTCACTTCCTGTGAACTTTGTTTTTACCCATAGGTCTTTTGGCAGCGGGTACCGATAAGGGGCGAGTAGCCATGTGGAGAAAGCTGCCAGGCCCCCAGAGCAGCCGAGCGGCAGAGGGCAAGGACAGGTGGACCCTTCAGACCCCTACTGAGCTCGAAGGCAACATCACACAGATAAAGGTACGAGCCACCAGGGTGCTGGGCGCTCTCACCCTCTGCCCTGCAAAAGTGGAGGAAGTGATGGTCTTTGAACTTTTTTGTCAGTTATGCACCTTAAGCCTATATAAAAATAACAACAATAAAATAGTTCCAAAGGCCTTTGGGCTTTCAGAATTGTGGGTCTGTGATTGTGGACATCTGTATCTTACCTATGTACCCATCCCTTTATCTCTGGCCCCTGTCTACCCTGAGAGCAGCTTTATCGAGATCTGTAACATACCAATTTTTCTTTTAGTACGTTCACAGTTTTGCACCCCTCACCATATCTCTTAGACCATTTTCAGCACCGGAAGGAAAGTGTGTGTGCGTCCACAGTCCCTCTGCTCCCCGCTCCTCCTCTGTGCAGGCGCTCCTCTACTTTCTGTCTCTGTGGATTTGCCCATTGTGGGCGTGTTGTAGAGATGGAGGCATAAATCTGTAGCTTTTTCTGTCTGGCCTCTGTCCCTGAGCATCATGTTTTCCAGATTCATCCGCATGGCTGCACGTGGCAGCAGAGCCTTGCTTTTGCAGCTGAGCCGCGCCTGGGGCAGGGACCGGCCGCCTTCTGTTATCCTTCCATCCGTCCACGGACGCTTGGGTTGTTTCCACATTTGGACTGTTGTGAACCCTGCTGCTGTGAACATTTGAGTACACATTTCTTTGTGGACGTATGATTTCATTTCTCTTGAGCCTGTGCTTTTTTATCTTATAAATTCTGTCTCACTGGTGGTGGTCCGTATTTGGGGAGACGATGTATCACACCTTCCTTTCCTTCTTTAAGTGTTATTTCCTTTAATTGTTTCAATACGTTTATAGTGGCTACTATGAAGGCTTCATCTGTGGAATCTGACATCTCGGCCTTCTGGGCCATTTCTCTGGCTTGCTTTTTTTCCCTAGGTGTATATCATACTCTCCTGTTTTCCCTGGCTCCAAATTTTTTGTTGCAAACTGGACATTTTAGATAAAATTATGTGTCAACCCTGCAATAGTGATCCTCTTGCTGCACTCACCTCTAGGGCTTGTGGCCACTGTTTGCTTATTTGCTTAGTGACCCAAGGGACCACTGTAGTGGCGTCTCTTTCCCTTGTCGTGTGAAGCCTCTGACATCACTCCTTGGAGGGCTGACCTCAGGCATGTGGGTGGTCCCCCTTGGGCAGCAGTGGCTATGGGGGCTCCCTGACTGTCCTCTCCCTGATCTGTTGAGCTTTCTGCCTCTGCAGGTCAACCTCCCCTGGGTTGGTGGCTCTGTTGTTTTTTGCAGTGACCCAGGGAATTGCTTGCCCCACAGTCCAGTCCCAGATTTGGGCAGGTGTGGTCTTTGAGCTCAGTGTTTAAGGTTCGTTTTGACCCAGGAAGGCTTCTCCTAGGTATGTCCTTCCCCAGTTCCCTTTGGTCAGTGGTCTGGCCTGCCGTTGAGCTTGTAGTTCTCATGAAGCTTCCAGCCTCCTCTTGATGCTTACCACCAAAGCCTCCACTCTCTTCAAGAACATCCTTAGGCTTGGACTTAACCCACATTGTGTTTCAAATGAAGTCACTTCCCTTGGGGAGCCCGTCAGAACTCTCTGTTCCTATGGCCTGCCTCTCCCCTTGGGGAAAACAGTCTGAGTCACTGCTCCAGAGCTTGGGAGTGGGGATGGTGGCTGCCTCTCTGGAATGACACCCTGCTCTGTGAGCCTGTGTAGTGTGAGCAAGCTGGGGCCAGGGCGTGGGGTCCCGGCATTCTCAGGCACCCCGTGAGCCCAAGGGACCCTTCCCCTTGCAGCATGGAGCTGGGGGAATGAGATGCCATAGGCCTGACTGGGCACTGGACAGGGAGCCGACCTCTTGGCTGCACCTACCGAGGGGGAGCTCCTGCACGCTGAGTTGGGAGGCAGGAGGGAGAGAGTCTAGAGGCTCAGGTACCACAGACACTGCTCTTCTTACCGGATTTAGCAGATTTTCCTGAATAAGTGTTGCTTCGTTTGCCTCACGCCCGATTTCTAGAGCATGAGATGGCTGTTGCCTCATACTTTTCTCCAGTTCTGCCTGTTCCCTCCTCAGGGCTGCTCCCCTGCTGTTCTGGAGGCTGTCTCTCAGACCTGCTGTGTGTAACCCTCTGAGACAGAATCTTCTTAACCCTACACGAGTCATGAGAGGAAGATGTACCTCATAAATCATTGAGGGCGCCATAGAGCACTTTGGGGGCTACCTTTAGATCCTCATCTCAGGCCATAGGTAAAAATAGCTTCTGGATGAATTAGTGAGTTAAATATCTTAATTATATCTTAAAAAATCTAAATATCTTAATTGCCTTAATTAGGGTAAATAAATGGCTAAAAATAGCATAGAATATTATCAGATCTGCAGAGAAAGTACAACTTTCTCAGATTTGAGGGACGCCTGGGTGGCTCAGTCGGTTAAGCGTCTGCCTTCGGCTCAAGTCATGATCCCAGGGTCCTGAGATTGAGTCCCACATCAGGCTCCCTGCTCAGCGGGGAGACTGCTTCTCCCTCTCCCTCCATCTGCCGCTCTCCTTGCTTGTGCTCTCTCTCTCTCTCTCTGACAAATAAATAAAAAACCTTAAAAAAAAAAGTTAAAAAAAAAACTTTCCAGATTTGAAGTAATAGGAAGAGCCACACTAATTTTCCTAAAGGACGTAAAAGAAAAACCAGGTACATGATAACAAATATATACTTTCCTTAAGAGAAGCCTCAGTGTTATAAGTGTTATTTCTTTCCAAGTAAATGCACAGATTACATGTACATCCAGTAAAAATAATGACTTTTTTTTTCTGGGAGAATTCAACAAAATAAACTCCTCTGGGAGGACACATGGCTGAGGAAAGAATGTATAGAGAATCAGAACATTTCTGTATCACAAACCAGAATATATCTCGAAACTATAGCAATTAAAACAGTACATGCTTACTCAGGAATGGATAAACATATCAGTGGAATGCAGAGCAGATTGAGATAGATTTGGAAGTTTAAATATGAAATTATGAAAGTGGTATTTTACATCACCAGGGGAGAGCCGGATGATTTAATACATCATGTTAACTTGCTATTCATTTATAAAAAATAAACATCTCTAAATTAACAACAGGTCAGAACAGACATATAAGCATCTGCCCATTGCATTACAACTTGGGTGTCAGTATTTTAAAATTTTCGATAAAGTACATGTTTTATGCTTATAAGTTTTTATATCAGTTTACACAATGAGAAGAAGCAGTGCTAGGAAAATGGTTGGTGAGTCCTTGTGTGTGTCACACTTTCCTGCCTGCACCTCCCTTCTCCTTGTTCACACTTCTGTCTCTGTCTCTGGCACGGAATGAAGTGGGGTTCCCGGAAGAGCCTTCTGGCGGTGAACAACCTCACCTCCGTGGTGATCCTCAGCGAGCAGGCCATGTCCTCACACTTCCACCAGCAAGTGGCTGTGGTGCAGATGTCCCCAAGCTCCCTCAGCGTGTCCTTCCTGTCCACGGGGGTGATGCACAGCTTGCGCACAGACATGCACGTCCGCGGGGTGTTCGCCACCAAGGTGACTGCAAGGGTGGCCTGGGGTTGACAAAAGACCTGGCCAGTTGTCTGGGTCGTTCAGGGTGGTAAGGGGTGCAAGTGGCAGGTTCCTTTTTAATTTCTGTGATTCTTTTTAGGATGCCATTGCTGTCTGGAATGGAAAACAGGTGGTGGTCTTTGAGCCTTCTGGAACCACGTTACGGAATGCAGGTGGGAGTCTGGTCCCTTAGGAGGGGGCTCACAACACCCTGCTTTATCTTCTGACCATCTGAGGGGGGGTGCCTGTGGTCTGGGCAGGGGGCTGGCACAGGGCCACCGGGAGCCCCTCATGTCAATCATGCCTGTGCTCTGGCCGTGCCACTGGGCATCACCCTACTGAGGCCAGTCAAGGTGGCTGAGAAGCCCAGGACAATGAAACAGCCGGAAATAAGGCTAAAGGAATATAAACCACCACAGTGCTTGCCAGGGAAGGGGGTTGCTACCCACCCAGCTTCTGAACTTGTTCCAGACCAGGCAGAGCAGTGAGCCTCATGCCATCTTGACCAAGGCCAGCCTCTGTCTGGAAATTTGAGGACAGATCGTCAGAGGTGCTCCGTCAGCCTCCACCTCCTGTCCCAGTGGGCCGCCATGACCCTCACTCTTCAGCACATGCCTGTGGGAGTGGCCGGGGGCTGCTGGATCAGTGACCACAAACCAGACAGACATTTACTGCCTCACAGCTGTAGAGGTCAGAAGTCCAAACTCACGTTCTCTGGGCCAAATCAAGGCATCGACAGGCCGCTCCACCTCCTGAGCTTTGGGAAGTCTGTTCCTCGTTTCTATCAGTGTTGGGTGGCTGCTGGCCATCCTTGGCCGGGTTGCATCGTTCCAGCATCTACCTCCATTGTCACCTTCTTCCGGTCTGAAATCTACCTCCCTCTTATAGGGGCACTTGTTGTTGCATTTAGAGCCCACCTGAATAATCCAGGATAATCTCCCCATCTCAACACCTTCCCAACTTTGGCCATATACTAGCATTCACAGGTTCCAGGGACCAGAACCTGATAGCTCCTGGGGTCACGTGCAGCCTACTTTAACAGCCCCCTTGGCCAACAGTCCTTCTGTACAGTTCACCCATGCTGACCCCACAGGACCGGTCATCGTGTGCTCCAGGGGGCTCCCCCCTGTGGGTTTGTCGGAGAAGCTCTCGCCTCCCTGGGGGTGTTTCTCCACTAGTGGTCACCCCTCTCCCTATCCCCTCCCTCCTTTTCTACTCTTAACACTTCATTGCCTGAACTTTTCTTTTTTTTTTTTTAAAGATTTTATTTATTTATTTGACAGAGAGAGAGACAGTGAGAGAGGGAACACAAGCAGGGGGAGTGGGAGAGGGAGAAGCAGTCTTCCCGCGGAGCAGGGAGCCTGATGCGCGGCTTAATCCCAGGACCCTGGGATCATGACCTGAGCCAAAGGCAGACGCTGAATGACTGAGCCACACAGGCGCCCCCATTGCCTAAACTTTTCTTGTCACGCTTTTCCTGCTCTACCTTGTATTATGCCTATAATTAATGTCATCTCCAGTGTGGACCCCCCAGGCCAAGGATGAACTTATCCCCTCCGTAGGACAGCACAGCAGGTGCTGAAGTATTTCCTATCGTGTGTGATCATCTCTGGCTAGAAAAGAACCCATCTAGACACAGAGACTAAGGCTCGTGGCCTCTAGAGCCCCCACTAAGAGGAACAGACACCCGTCTAAACACTTGTGCTGCGCCAGACCACAGATGCAGCGCCGCCATGGCCCCGCTGCTAGTCACACGGGAGAGGCGGCAGCTCATGAGCAGGGCAGGGAGCCTAGGGCCATGTTCCTACACCAGCCCCGGGCCTGCACGCTGTCCCTGCGCCTCAGGGCCTCGCTCTCTTCATATACAGGATGCAGAAAATGCAGCCCTCATGACGCTGTCTGAGCATCATGAAGAGATGGGCCGCTGTCGCATTATGTCCCTCTCTCATCCTAGGAACCTTCCTGTGTGAATCTCCGGTGTTAGCCATGCACGAGGAAAACGTGTACACTGTGGAGCCAAACCGAGTACAAGTTCGAACGTGGCAGGTAAATCACTGCTCTGGAGCGAGTGGGCTTGGAGATGAAAGCCACTAGAACAGTTTGAAAGGCCGTCTCTAAATCGAGCCAGAGCCACTTACTGACTTCAGCAGCCAGGTCACAGTCCCCCCGCCAGGTGCTTGCTCGTCACACTGGATTCTGGGCTAGCTGGTGCACCAACTGCCAGCACCTGTGAGATTGAGAGGCGGACCAGGGCCTCATGCAGTGATGAGGACTGAATCGCTGGACCCTGAGCACTCAGGTTAGGAAAGGGGAGGCCATGTTTGCTGGAGTTAATGTCCATCTTCACTGTCCATCAGTTCAGGACAGGCCTTTCCCTGCACTTGTCTGAGGGTGAGTCCGGGACGGGAGCAGCGTGGGCCTTGCAGGTGACCAGCTTGAACACAGCCTCGTTCCCCCTGGTGGCAAGGAGTAGGAGGCCCCCACCTGCCGGCATCCCTGATGCCCATAGGAACCGGGGGGCTGATGGGGTGTGATAGTTTCCTGAGCCTGCCATAATAAAGTACCACAGACGCGGTGGCTTACAGCAATAGAACTTTAATTTCTCGCAGTTTAGGAGATAAAAAGTCCAAAATCCAGGTATGGGCAGGGTTGGCTCCTTCTGAGGTTCTGAGGGAGCATCCGTCCTGTGCTTTCCAGCCTCTGGTGGCTCCGGCATGGCTTGGCTTGTAGATGCATCGCTCCATCTCCACCTCTGTCCTAACCTGGCCTTCTCCTCGTGTCTGGTTCTTGTTTTCTGTATCATAAGGACACTTGTCTTTGGATTTAGGGCCACCCTAATCTGGAATGGTCTCCTTAATTACATCTGCCAAGACCTCTTTTCCAAATAAGGTCACATTTACAAGTTCCAGGTAGATGTATCTTTTGGGGGCCACCACTCAACCCAGTACATGCAGCAGGGCTCTGTGTCAAGGTCGGGAAAACCTTCATGGCCCTGTTTTCAGCTCTTAGTGCGGCTGCTTTGTCTGTCTCTGAGTTGTTTGCTAGGATCCAGTGTTCGGTTTCTGGAGGCTGCCGTACGCATGCATGGTGTCCTTGTACCTCACATGCTTCTCAGTTCCTGAAGCGGCTTCCCTGGAGTTCTTCCTGATGGGGCTCACAGTGGGTGGGATGTGCCACTGGGGGAGGTCCTGGAGTAGAGGCTTTGATGTGGGGAACAGCCTCCTGGGGGAAGGTGTGAGGGGGGCCGGGGTCAGGGGCAGGGGAAGGCTGCTGACCCCTTGAGGTCCTCAGCCTATTCGAGGTGGGAGGGAAGCTGGAGGGGAGGAGGCCAGAGCCCACTGCTGCCGACACTTGTCGGGGACATCTGCTGCAGACATACAGCCCAGGCCGGGAGGGCCATGTTAACAACCCATGAAGGGCGCAGCTCTGTGAGCAAGGCAACCTGCAGCCTCTGCTGAAGGGCCGTGGGGCAAACCTGTGGGGAAAGGGCTAGTAACCTTAAATATAAAACTGCCAGTTATTTTACCAGCAAAAATGGGTTTATCCGGGAATAGGAGAGAATTGCAGTCTGGGACAAGCAAGCTACAGCAAAACCACAGCAAGTGTGCAGGATCCCGGAGAGGAGGGGCTTCTGTGGGGGCGGCTAGGCTGCTGTAAACAGAATGTCCATTGGAGTAAGCTGGGAGCTGCAAGTGTGGTGGCTGCTCATTGGCTGGGCTGTTGCTGAGGGAGGAGGAACCCTTCCTTCCTCCTGCTGGGATAGCGCAGGTGACCCTTGAACAGCTTGGAGGCTAGGGGTGCTGACCCCACATGCAGTCAAAAATCCACATATAACTGGACTCCCCAGAAATCTGGAGACTGGGATCTTTACCGATAGTACAGGTGGTCAACACGTACTGTGTATGTTATATGTATTCTATACTGGATTCTGACAATAAAGCAAACCAGAGGAAAGAAAGCGAAATCACAGGGAAGAGAAAATACCTTTACAGTACTGTATCCAAAAAAAAAACAAAACAAAAACATCTGCTTATAAGTGTGTAAACGGTCGGTCTCTGCCGGTTGGGTCAGCGACCAACCAGGCGTGGTGGTGCTGAGTGCGCCCCCTGCTGGCCTCCTGGCTCCATTTTCTAAATGAGGTTTCCCTTTATTAAGTTTCACATTTCCGCTTCTTGATCAAGATCTTTCTTTGAAAGCATCACTGATCAAATCACATTTTCCATACTTAGTGGTGTTGTTCCTCAGTGCCAGGAAGGACTTTTCCATGTTGTCATGTCCTACTTTGGTGGCGAAGTGCATTGCTTGACGCAAACCACGTAGGGCCACATTTGAGTAACAACGAAGGTCAGGAGAGAGAAAAATCTCAGGTACTCCCGCGTAAAACTTGTATCTTTCCAATGTTGTAAGAGTTAGAGAGCATCTCCTTATTGGGTACATCATTTTTTAAAAAGTTTGAAGAGGTAACAAAATACAAACCTTAAAATAATGTTACAAAACAGTAAGTAACATGATAATGCCAAATTGTATGATGGACCAGAACCAGGTGTGAAAGTAGCCAACTGAAATATTTACTAGCACGTATTCTGACATAGGCGAGAAAGGGTCTCCCTGTGAAAGCAAGCCCAGAGTCATGTACGCCTCCTAAAATCTCCACTTAAAGCAACCGTGAGAGCAGAACGGTGGAGACTGCAAGAGCACATTGAAAGAACTAACTTAGTGCATTTGCAAAGAACCAGTGCAAATATTAAAAGGAAGCAATAGACGGTGAACTCTCTGCAAAACAGCAAAACTTCAAAGATGTCTTAAAACAGTATTGTTATTTCAAAAGAACTGTGTGGAACCACATGTGTTCTCAATACAGCATATAAAATTGTGAATTCAGACACCATGAATTTGGATGGTAATTCAGATGAAAGAAAGACTTTTGTAAATTCTGAACCTTCTAAGCCTTCAGGAAAAATGAGTGAAAGATGACTTTGTTGCAGAATAGTAATGAGGCTGTTACTGAAAGGCCGCAGACAGGAGAGGTTCTCTCTTTCTCAAGGGCTTGAGAAATGCAGACGAGAGCATCTCTCTCCACGAAAGAGAGAGAAGCAGCAGCAGTGAGGAAAAGGCACGCAGGCCTGGGCTGGACATCTGGGGAAAGCGGTCTCATCAGATGTCATCTGCTTCAATTCCAGGAAATCTGTACCTTTAGGTCACCAGAGGGCGTGTAGGGCCAGTCAGGGCTTGCTGCTTTCTGTGGATGTGTCCCATGAATCCAAGAGTCTATTTCCTGTAGTTTGGCAGCACAAAGGTTGATGATCAGTAGCTGATAAGAACCTTTCCAGTGAGGATGAAGAGAATCTTTCTGGAGGCATCTCTTACAGACAAAAATCTCCATGTTGCTGCGAGGTTGATCTAAAGTTGTTTTCTCCTGGGAGCACACTGTGGAAAGATTGTGCTACCAAAGCATGGTCATTTTTAATAGAGGCAATCAGGCCTTTACAATATTGAAGTGCATCTCCCTTTATCAACTGTGGGTCAAGGAGGTAGGGGCCAAGTGCATTGGAACGTCTTGTGACTAACTCAAAGGGTGAGAGCCTATGCCTTCCCAAGTGGGTGGATCTGAAATTCAGGACCAATAGCAGTAGTGCTTTAGGCCAAGATAGTTGGAGGGTCTCTACACAATTTAACAATTGAGTGTTAATAGTGCTGTTAGTGAATTCAGCTAACCCTGATTGAGAGTGGTATACACAATGAGTGCTGGAAAACCAGCCAAACAGGACAGACTTACTGAAGCACCCACCTGGTAAAATGGGCTCCCTGATCACTGTGTAGTTTGAGAGGGGGTTCCCAGGTAGGGGTAATGTTTTCTAACAGAATTTTAGCCACAGAAGAAGCAGTGGCCTGTTTGCAAGGGAAAACTTCAGTCCAGTGAGAAAACGTACAGACTATGACCAAAACATGCATATCCATGAGACGGGGGAGTTTTATGAAATCCATTTGTATGAACAGGTTTCTCTGGATTATACTTTTAACAGGCGGGACAAGTGAGGTGGGCAATTTTTGTGGCCTCATTAATATTTCTCCACCAGTGTTTGTTCATGAACGCTATCATTTTGTCAGTAAACCAGTGATTTAACACATATACGGTGGTAAGTAGTAGGATTTTGGAATTTCTGGTAGGGCCAGATTGTTATTTGGTCCAAACCAGAGTTTTCTTTTTATCAAACTCACAGTTGTTCGATTTCCACCATTGTCTTTCTTTTCTGGGGCCAACTGTAGGGCATCTCTGGTCAGTTTTTCCAAATTGTCATTTGAAAGAACATCCCTTTGGAAAATGACAGAGGTCTAGCTATCAGTCTCCTGCTGTGGTTTCCTTTGGCCTCCAGAGAGTCAAGTCTTGAATGCCCAGGAACCTTAATAATAGCCAGAGCTGCTGGCAAAAGTGTGGCATCTAGGGACACCTGGGTGGCTTAGTCGGTTAAGCGTCCAACTCCTGGTTTCGGCTCAGGTCATGATCTCAGGGTGGAGGGATCAAGCCCCATGTTGGGCTTTGCGCTTACCACAGAGTCTGCTTGAAGATTCTCTCTCTTCCTCTGCCCTTCTCCCCACTCTCTCTTAAAAAAAAAAAAATGTATGGCAGCTAATAAATTTTGGACATAGGAGTCATCTTAAATTTTATTCCCATTGGAGCTAAGGAAACCTTGTTGATTCCTTAACATCACCAAATCATGGGCTACCCCAAAGGCCTACTGATCGTCAGTATAAATATTTGCAACTTTACCCTGGCTGGGGTACAGGCTCCAGTATGGGCATGTAGCAGCCTTTTGGGCTGAAGTCACTGGCACTTCACACATCGAAGCCTTGATGACTTCACAGGGAGTTGCGATAGCAGACCCAGCATAATGTTTACCATTTTCTTCCTTTAAATACGAACCATCAGTAAACCATGAAAATGAGCAGTGGGGTGTCCTGTAAATGGTCCTGGGGAGTCCAAGGGTGATCTGGCAGCATTCAGCAGTCATGAGGAGTTTCATCCACATCCAGATGTCGTCCTTGTTCTGAGATCAGATGCCCAAAGCATCGGACCTGAGTTTGAGCAAACTGCAAATTTTCTTTGGAGACTTTGTCTCTTTAAGAGCAAAAGTCTTTTTTTTTTTTTTTTTTTTTTTGACAGACACAGCGAGAGAGGGAACACAGGCAGGGGGGAGTGGGAGAGGGAGAAGCAGGTTTCCCGCTGAGCAGGGAGCCCCATGGGGGGCTCGATCTCAGGACTCCGGGATCATGACCTGAGCCAAAGGCAGACGCTTAATGACTAAGCCACCCAGGCGCCCCTAAGAGCAAAAGTCTTAACAGGTGGATGTTGTCTCCCGTGAAGAGGTTTGAGCAGCGGGAGCAAAACAAATCATCTACATGTTGTCACAACCTAGAGTCTGCAGAAAGCTTTGTATCATCCAAATCATCTTCTAAGGTTTGTGAAAAGAAGGATGCTCGGAGAAACACAGGGGCACTCCTGGCTATCCTTATCAACTGGAATACTAAAAATGCACTGCAGAGGTCCACTGTGGTGAAAGTTTTGCGTGGAATGGATGTTGGTAGTGTGGGAGGGTTGGGAACATTGGGTACTGAGGGGCAACAGTGTTAGTTACTGCTCACAGGTCCTCAACAGACCTCCATTCCCAGCCACTGGTTGTTCTCACAGGTAAAATGGGGATGCTACAGGGTCTAGTGCAGGGTATAATGAGGCCCTGAGCCTTGTAATCTATTATGTAATCTTGAAGGCCATCTGTATTTAGAGGGTTTTGTTCTGGGGAGAGGTTTTGAGGGATCTGTTTTAATCTTGATGGGCATGCACTGTGGGATCTGCCAGCATCAGTTGAGGACTTTGCTCATCAAATCAGTTGGAGGACCGAAGCTCATCCAATAGGGACAAATAACCAAGCAAGCCTGGAAAACCAAGGAGGAGAGTGGAAAGTTGGGAGGGCTGTTGTAAACTGAAAGTCCACTGGAGTAAACCGGGCATTCTAAGTTGGGGGCTTCTCATTGGCTGGGCTCTTGCTGGGGTAGGAGGAAAGCTTCCTGCTTCCTTCTTATTCCTTCATCTGCAAAGGGCCTCTCTTCCTGTTAGGTCTGTAATTGACCAGGAGTGGTAGGGCTGAGAGCGCCCCCTGCTGGCCGTGGTAGTTCATTTTAAATGAGGTCTCCTTTCATTAATTTTCACAGGAATGTCAACATGCTGAGAAAGCAGGAAAGACATACTAGGAAAGGAAGAACAGACTGCTGGGAAAGGGTGAAGGGCATACTGGGAAGGGGAGAATGGCCTGCTGGGAAACATTGCGACTGAGGGTCCCGGGTGGCTGGCCTTGAGGGTCTCTGACAACAGATGGGCTGGAGTTAAGTCTTCTTGTTAATTTTTTAACTAAAAGGAATATGGGTCCCTGATAACTAGTAATTTAATGCCAGCATGTGTACGGCAACGTACAGTAACTCGGGATTTGGAAGCCTGGACTGCATTTCCAGACCCTTCTCCCCAGCAGGGAGCTCTTGAGGACGTAGACACACAAGCCGCGCTTGTTGTTGCTCCTTTGAGACAACACTAGACGGTTGCTCTGCCCCTTCCAGCTCTCTAACGAGACTTCTCTCCACACGGAAGGGGGAGCTCTGCTCATCCCCCATGCTTTATGCCGTTGGGGCAGTGAGGGATGGGCACCCCATGGGGGGCTCGTTTACGGGGCCGGAGCTGAGGAAGGGGTTGGTGTCTGACACTGGTGGAGGCAGAAGCAGTGGGAAATGAGGCAGGAGGGCCTGCTGGCTGGACTGAAGGCCCTTACCTTAAAGACAGTGGGGGTCTTGAAACCTGGGGTGACGGTGACAAGCACACTGGGCCATCAGTAAACACTGAGTGTTGGCTTAGTGTGTACAAGATTACCTGTGAGTAACATTCATTAACAGAAGTGAAAGGCTGCACAGGCTGCTTTCCTTAATCCTAATTCTTTCCTTTTCCTCAGGGGACCGTGAAACAGCTCTTACTGTTCTCTGAGGCAGAGGGGAGCCCATGCTTCCTCGACGTCTGCGGAAATTTCCTGGTTGTGGGGACAGACCTGGCTCATTTCAAAAGCTTTGATCTTTCCCGAAGGTACAATTTTTGTCGAAATAAAAGTGCAGGCCTACCTTGGAGATACTGTGGGTTCAGTTTCAGACCACTTTGGTAAAGCAGATATCACAATAAAGTGAGTCAAATGAATTTTTTGGTTTCCCAGTACATATAAAAGTCATGTTTTTACCCTACTGTAGTCTCGTAAATATACAGTAACATTGTGTCCGAAAAAATATCCATGCCTTAATTAAAAATTCCTTTTTTGCTAAACAGTGGTAACCATCATGTAAACTTCCAGCACATTGTAAGCACTGATCACAGGTCACTATAACAAATACAATAATAAAAATGTTTGAGATAATGCAAAAATTACCAAAATGTGACAGACACCAAGTGAGCAAATGCTGCTGGAGAAATGGCGCTGATTGACTTGCTCAACGCAGGTAGCCAGAGACCTTCAGTTTGTTAAAAGAACGCAGTATCTTGGACGTGTACTAAAGTGAGGGATGCCTGTGCACATTTTAAAAATTAGGACGGGACACCTGGGTGGCTCAGTTGTTAAGCGTCTGCCTTCGGCTCAGGTCATGATCCCAGGGTACTGGGATCGAGCCCCGCATCAGGCTCCCTGCTTGGCGAGAAGCCTGCTTCTCCCTCTCCCGCTCCCCCCCGCTTGTGTTCCTGCTCTCACTGTGTCTCTGTCAAGTAAATAAATAAAATATTAAAAAAAAAATTAGGAGACAAAGTGGTGTGTAGAAAATGGATAGGAGCTGGAAACCTGTTCATGTTCCCGTTTCATTCCACTGATTTTTTTTCATTTCACTAAATTTTTTGTAATGCCTTATGTTTTGGCATAAATCCTTTTTAAAAAATATTTATTTATTTATTGGAGAAAGAGTGAGGGAGCAAATGGGGGGAGGGGCAGAGGGCGAGGGAGAGAGTGAATCCCAAGCAGATTCCACGCTGATTATGGAGCCCCATACGGGGCTCAATCTCAGGATCCTGAGGTCGTGACCTGAGCTGAAATCAAGAGTTGGACACTCAACTGACTGAGCCCCCCAGGCACCCCTTGGCATAAATTCTTAATCTTTGTATACTGGGGGAGGGAGCAAACAGGAGTATAGTTGGGCACATAGAGCAGGGCAGTTTTTAGGTGGTAAAATTTTCTATTTGGTGGATACAAGGCACTGTAGTTGTCAGGGCCCATAGAACTTTATAGCACAAAGTGAGCCTAAAAAGCGTGCAAATTTTAAAAATCTTTTAGGGGATCCCAGGATGGAATACGGAATGTGAAAGAACAATCTAAGTGTGCTAGAAATGTGTGAAACAGCCTCCCTGGAGAGGCGGTGCTGACCCCAGCCCTTTGGGGATCAGCAGTGTTGTTGACACTTGGCTGGGGGACCGCATACAGTGCTTCCCTGCAGTCCACGGAGCTCCCCCACACAGGGCATGGGATGACTGGCCCACACCGGCACTCAGGCGTGCAGAAGTGAAGGACTGAATAGCTGTGGCAGGTTTTGGGGCTGGGACTTCTCTGTTGGGAGGAGGTGACAGATAAGCAGGGGGAGGAGGCGAGAGAAGCCGCATGGTGATGGGTTGAGTGGAAGTCATGTTTAGCTTAATATAGACACAGCCGGGTCAGATACACGTACATCTGGCAGTTAGTCCATGCGTGTGTCCTGGCTCTCTGCGGCAGCCGAGAGGCAGCAAGCACGCCCGGCACCTGGATGCGGGTTTCCATAGCATTCTCCATCAGAAGGACCAGGCTCCTTGGAAAAATTCTGGGACTGAGGCAGGAGATGTGCACATGAGCCTGGAGTCTGAGAAACTTTCCCAGCCCAGAGGAGCTGAAAGAGAGGGGACCGTGAAATATCACATGAGGCCTGGAGAGGCTCCTGGGACAGAGGATTTTAGGGAAACACGGAGGAAATGGGAATTCACTGAGAACAATCGGATGAGCCACTGCTGCCCAGCCAGCACTGCTCGTAGCAGCAGCAACAAGCCAGAACCAGCTAAGCGGGGGCTGCTTACCTGCAGTTTTGTTTCTCCGCAGGTGTAGCAAGTGTGACAACAGCCCGTTCTGGCAGGACGAACCGAGGGAAGCTGGGTGCAGAGCAGCCGCTTCTTGTGTCAGAAGAGTAGGGGGGATACATACTCATATTGGCTTAGTAAACCTAGGAACTTTAAAAATTCACCCAGACAAATCTTGAATCATTTTGTTTACACCTGAAAGTAATACGATGTTATTGTCAATTATATCTCAATTTAAAAATTTTATTTTATTATTATTTAAAGATTTTATTTATTTATTTGATTGAGAGAGAGAAAGAGAGCTCGAGCAGGAGGAGAGGCAGAGGGAGAAGCAGACTCTCCATGGAGCAGGGAGCCCGATGCGGGGCTTGATCCCGGGACCCTGGGATCATGACCTGAGCCGAAGGCAGACACTTAACCGACTGAGCCACCCAGGCGCCCCTCAATTTAAAAACTTTAAAAGTTTTAAGCTAGCCCTGGGTTCTGAGCTGGCCCCTCTCCCAGGTGTCCAGACCCTCAGAGTGAGCATCCCTGGGCCTTTGAGGAGCCCCGAGTCCCGTGGATGAAGGTTTGCAGTCCCTTAGAGAGCCGGTCCTGGCACTGTGAGCCACCTGCATGCGGGGAGGGTGAATGGACGAGGGACGGGATTGTGCTTCGCCCTGAGACCCTTGTGTCCCCCCTGCAGAGAGGCGAAAGTGCACTGCAGCGACAAGAACCTGGCCTCGCTGATCCCAGGCGCAGTGGGCATGGCCTCCCTCAGGTGTAACGCCAGCGGCAGCAAGATCAGCATCCTCCTCAGCAAGGTGGGTGCACGTCGGCGGCTGCTCTCCCAGGGCCGCCGTCCTCCTCGGGCTGTGCCCATCTTCGCGCACAGCTCTGCGGCCCCACCTCTCCTTCTGCCACGAGGCCTGAGCCCCCACGTGTCCCCAGTCCCTAATTCCTCTGAAACCGCAGTTCTCCCTCTGCAGGGCTCTGTAGCTCTTCTCTTTTCTATCCTTTCTCGTCAGCCAGCTGTGTTCTGTGGGCTTGAGGGGGTTGCAAGGACTTCTGAGCTCTGGCTTAGAGAACTAAAGGCGTGATGACAGCTAGAGGGTAGATTCTGAAGGGCACTGACGTACGCATGTCCGTCCTGCTCTACAGGCAGTGGGCCCTGCCGCCTACGGTTTTTGCTCGTGAATCCATTCATCCACAACCTTGTTACCGGTTGCCTTCCATGAACCACGCCCTTCTCTGGGCACTGTGGGCACAGGTCAGTGGTTAAACAGGAGAGCTCAGCCCTCCCTGTGGATGAACAGACACCCATCTAAGAACGAGTCAAACTGTGCCACGTGGTGCCCGGCAAGCCGCCAGTCGGGAGGCTTCCCGAGGAGCTGTGAACCCGCCAGGCGAGTGTGTGGCAGGGGGGCAGCAGCAGAGGCACCAAGACTGCGAGCAGGTGGCAGAGCCTGGCCTGGCCAAGGGTCCGCTGTCTGTGGCAGAGGGGCAAGGCCGATTCTGGCACAGTCAGTGGGCCATCACACGGGCACCGACCATGGTGCAGGGGCGAGGCAGGAGCATAATGTAGTATCTTTCTAGGATTGCTTCTCAGTGGTGGTGCCCATTGCAGCTGTCCTGGGGGTTGGGACTGGCTGATGTGTGCAAGGACGGTTCTACCCCTCGAAGCAGTGTGGAGGTGGAAAGGGAAACCTGGTGAGGAGCTTTGCGGGGATGATGGGGCGTCCTGTTTCAGTGTTGAGTTTGAGGCATCTCAGAGCAGCAAGTGGGCCTGTAAAGACAAGCCTGAGTCTCAGAAGGGGAGTCTGGCTGGAAATGGGGATCTCGGGAGGATAAGAGCAGTCCTGCCAGCCTGAGCACCGGGACAGGACGTGGGGAGGACGGGCGGTCCCGGGTCACTGATCCAGGCAGCTGGAGGGCGGTGGCAGAACACACGTGCACAGGACCAAAAGCGGGGCATGCAGTGGGGGAGAGGGCAAGAGCATCCCGGGATGTAGCACCATCTCCATGGTGCTGGGGTGAATGCACAGCAGGAGTGGGGGTGGCGCAGTGACGAGTGGCCCTGGAGGCCTGCTTCTCCAGCATGCAGTGACAGTGAAGGACGAGAATGCCTCTCCTTGCATCAGGAATTCTTGCCCGTGGTGAAAGAAAAAAAGACAAAAGAAGAAGTTCAGGTAACACAAGGGAGCTTGCAGTGAAAATCAGCTGTCCATCATCCCCCCCAGCCCTGCCAGCACTCCCCTGGGGGTGGGGAGTGTGCTTGGGAAAGGAGGGTCTGGATTCTCAGGGGGGCAGGGTCTGGGGCAGGAGGCTGGGGCCTTGAGTGTTGCTGACGCATCTCCGGTCTGTTGTTTGTCTTTCATTTTGCTATTGGTGTTCCCGGAGACTAGAAGCATATTCATAGGTACTCAAACCTGTTGATGATTTTGTGATCCTTCTGCTGCTGTTAAGCTTACGGTATCTTCTGTCTAAAATGTTGACAAATTCATTTCTTGGCCTTTCTTAAGTACTCAGGCCCCCTTAGCCTTCCACGGTCTCCTAGAATAAAGCCTGGAACAGTCTCCCCAAATTTCTGGTATTTGTTGCCCCAGCAGCCGAGCTGGTTTGTTGGGACCTGGACTTCCCCCGTGCCTGTGGTCAGTCCCCCTCAGCGAGGATGACAGCACTCAGGTCAGCATTGGCCACAGCTGGACAGCTAGAGTTGGGCCTTCATGACGTGTTAGAACTTGTTTTCAGTGCTTGGAAATTATAAAGTAGTGCTTGAGCAGTGGTCTCAGTGGGATGAAAGTGAGTCGATGTCCACTTAGGAAGGCCAGATTGGCCGGTGGGTCGTGGACACCAGACACTTGTTCTCAAACCTGTGGCATGTCAGCCAGGTGGTACCGTGAGCTCCATTTTCTCTTCCCCCAGGCGGACAACAGCCCTGATTCCAAAATCTGCTTCTACGATGTGGAAATGGACACGGTGACCATCCTCGACTTCAAGACGGGGCAAATTGATCAGAGGGAGACATTGCCCTTTAATGGCCAAGAGACCAAGAAGTAAGACTGTGGTTTGGGAGGATTTCATTGGAAAAATACTGACACTGGGCGCCTGGGTGGCTCAGTTGGTTAAAGCGACTGCCTTCGGCTCAGGTCATGATCCTGGAGTCCCGGGATCGAGTCCCACATCGGGCTCCCTGCTCGGTGGGGAGTCTGCTTCTCCCTCTGACTCTCTTCTGTCTCGTGCTCTCTATCTCTCATTCTCTCTCTCTCAAATAAATAAATAAAATCTTTAAAAAAAAAAAAGAAAAGAAAAGAAAAAATACTGACACTGATACTCAGTTAATGGTCAGCTTCCAGGCAGGCTGCTGAGTTACACTTCAGACCTCAGGGACCTCAGTAGTTACCAGTGCTCAGAACAGGCAGGAGGGCCAACACGCCCAGGCAGTTGGGATGGACTTGAGCCTCTGAGGCCCTGGAATTACCTGGCAGAACCGGGCTTCTGGAAGGGCAGTGGCGGCCAGGGCTGCACGATGGCTGAATCTCAGGGTGAGTATGGTGGTAACTCAGCTCTGTCAGCGCCTGGGAAGGGAGGGCATCCGCATGGGTCGACATCGTCTTTCTAGAGAAATAATGGTCGCTCTCAGGGAGTTCGTGTTTGTAGCTCCTGCTCTGCCGAGGACTCACATTTGATTCTGCAGGAAGTGACGCCTGAGGGCCACAGGCGCTGCTCAGGACTCGGGGTGGACGCTGTGGTCAGCACCTGCACTGAGTGCACAGCAGCAGAGCCCATGGCTGGCCTTGCCGGAGTCTGTTCCTTTGCTCTGTTACAGCCCCCACCTCCCTACCCAGCTCAAATCCTTTTCCAGAACCTTCTTTCCCCTGGTGGCTTAAACTGGCCACTGCTGGTGGTCCCACCTGAACACACCCACCCTCACTTCTCCCCGGCCTCGTTCTGCTGATCTGGTTCCAAATGTCCACTGGAATTTCTTGCCATCACCTGAGCCTCATTCCCCAGAAACTGTTCTTGTCTACCCTGGTTGCTCTTCCATCCTGGTTGCCTGGTCTGAAACCTCACAGCTAACCTTTCCCTTAGTCCCCCTGTCTGTGACTCATCCCATTTTCCTTGTTTGAACTGTGTCTTAGACTCACGCTTTCCCTCCACCCTCCACCTCTGAGCCACATGGAGCCCAGGCTGTCACTTCTCCTGTGGCGGTGGGACAGTGCACAGCCTCCCCTCAGATGCCTGTCCTCTTCTGAGATCTGACCCTTCCTTTGCCTCTGGACCCAGCTTGTCTGTCTGCAGCATGGGCCCCATAACACACACATCTTCCTGGCAGGATGTGCGGTCCACCCACTGGTCCTGGCAAGAGCCCTCCATGGAGTCTTCAGAGCCAAACCATCACACGCTGTCCAACAAGACTACACTGGGCCTCTTTCACCAACTTGCTTCAATCTGAGAGTCACCTCAGGCAGGCTGGGTGCACCGTGCTGTGGAGAGGGGCTCCGAAGCCACCAGCCTAAGCAATGCCCACCAGCCTGCTGATGCTCACCCAGGTCCCTGGCACACATTTCCAGAGGCTGTGAACACAGATGCTCCTCTCAGTTCTCAGGACTAAGGACGGGCCTTCTCTTTCAGGAGCCACGCCTTTGTGGATGAGAGACTGATGGATCTCATTCCCGTGAACCATTTCTGGGACCAGAGCGAGCCCAGGCTGTTCGTATGCGAGGCCGTGCGGGAGGTGCCAGGAGCCCAGCTGCAGCCTGGGGACAAGAAGCCGCCCGCCGAGGACAGCCCAGGCCCCATGGTACCGTGGCCACACCGTGTTTGTATCTAGTCACGGGGGGGTTCGGCAGGTTCGCAATCTCCTGACGTGGTTTATGGGGAAGTTAGAGGGAAGTTGGTGCCCGTGGAGCAGAGTGCCGCCTCAAGGATGCGTGGCCTGCGTCTCCCCTCAGGGTTGGCACAGACTTCTCTGTCTGGTCTCACTCAGACTGTCCTATTTCGGTTTTCCTGTTACATCAAGTGCTGTGTATTTCTCTCCAGAGCAGAGCCCGCTACCGAAACAGTTAATGGAGCTAAGCCATGGTGGGGGCGTGTCCTGGGGCTGAGTCAGCCGACTTCTTACTCTTCCCTCCAACAGGCCGATTCCCACTGCATTGGCCTCCTTGCCCGGTCCCTGCCCTTCACCCTGACCAGACTCCCTGGCTCTGCAGAGCATGCCTTCCCCCAGTAGGGTCCAGGACTCCGACACTTTCCAAACACGTGCTGTCAGAACGTCTGGCGCTCCCTGCAAAAGCCAGCGGCTGGCTTTGCCTCCCCATCTGTGATAGGTTCCCAGTAAGTCAGCAGGGGCAGCCAGCCCTCCAACACTAGCGGACTTGTATCCCTGCCAAAGGAAGTTCCCTCCCAGAGTGGTGAGAGTGGGGGCCCCAAGATTATCAGCAGTCAAGTGTCCACGCCCTGAGGCTTTGAGAAGCAGATCCGGTCCTTGGCTCTGAAACACTGAGTGGTAAAACGCACAGAGGTGGCATCTCTGTGACTAGGAGCGAGAAGCAGCCGTGCGCAGAGTTTTCTCATGGTAGAGGGTGACGACCCCAGGCAAGCAAGGATGGCGCATGCTGATCCCCAGTGAAAGGCACTTCCTGGCACTCTGATCAGATACCTCTTTAGGGCTCTTGTGAAGATGATGCAAAATTGCAGGAATTCACACAAGCAAGGAGAGGCCCTGGTGTCCTCGACCTCCTGCTGTTCCCGTTCAGAAGGTGGTGCGGACGGCGCTGCTACTCCAAATCGCATGCTCAGGACCCAGCAGAGCACCTGGCCTCTTGGCTCTGTGTCTCTTCTCCCTTGAAAGCAGAGGAGAGAATCTTTCTGCTATTGTTAATTTTTTAGAAGATTTATTTATTTATTTTTAGAGAGAGTGAGCATGTGAGCAGAGAGAGGGAGAGAGGATCTCAAGCAGACTCCCTGCTGAGTGCAGAGCCCCATGCAGGACTCTGTCTCACAACCCTGGGATCATGACCTGAGCCAAAATCAACAGTCAGACGCTCAACTAACTGAGCCACCCAGGCACTCCTCTGCTATTGTGGATTTTTATTTTTATTTTTTTAAAGATTTTACTTACTTATTTGACAGAGAAAGACACAGCGAGAGAGGGAACACAAGCAGGGGGAGCAGGAGACGGAGAAGCAGGCTTCCCACCGAGCAGGGAGCCCGATGTGGGGCTCGATCCCAGGACCCTGGGATCATGACCTGAGCCAAAGGCAGACGCTCAACGACTGAGCCACCCAGGTGTCCCTATTGTTGATTTTTATATCAGAGTCAAGGAACTGAACAGAAAAACTTTAAAACACAAGAGTTCTTTAGTTTTAGTCACCAACCAGGATGGGAAGGATTAGCTTTTGCTGCAAGAAAATCCATCCATGAGAAGGGTCTAGCAGCTCTCAGACTGCATGAGGCTCATCCTTCCAGAAGGGGGAGGTGGGTTATCTGTGTAAGACTGTTCACGTGTTCATCCTTTCTTCTCTGTTGTGTGTAAACATCCTGACCGTGAAAATGGGGATTAGATGCCAGATAGAAAATCGTATCACCGAACCAGAAACAGCACTGTTTCCCCTCTCTCGCAGACAGACGTGGTGATTCTGTCCTTCTTCATCACGGAGGAGCACGGCTTCTTGCTCCAGGACAGCTTCCCCCGGCCTCCCGCCTACCAGAATCTTCTGGGGATCGAAGTGCCTCATTATTACTTCACCAGAAAGGTGGGAGCCCCACGAGCACAGGACCATGTTCTCGGCTTCTCCTCCTCTGTTGGGCAGGGGTCTGTGGGATCTCCCGGAGCCTCCAGGGTGCCGCAGCTCCCCTCTCGTTAAGCGAGGCAAGCCATCTGCTCTCATTTGTTTCCTGAAACTCCAGTAATTATGAGGTTTCCAGGTCAGGAAAGTTACAGGACTTGGCTTTGCCGTCAAGACAGAGTAATGGTGGAGTGTCCAGGATCCCTGGGCTCAGGGGCCAAAGACGATGCAGACCCGCACAGTTGCAGACCCACACAGTCCCAGCCCCAGAGGTGGCCCCATGTGCTTGTTTAGTGTTGACAGATGGGGTGGTTTGCAGCACACAGGTGCACACTCCCAGCTCCATTCTTTGTGTGTGTGTGTGTGTGTGTGTGTGTGTTTAAAGATTTTATTTATTTATTTGACAGACAGGGAGAGAGGGAACACAAGCAGGGGGAGTGGGAGAGGGAGAAGCAGACTTCCCGCCGAGCAGGGAGCCAGATGTGGGGCTCGATCCCAGGACCCTGGGACCATGACCTGCGCCGAAGGCAGACGCTTAACAACTGAGCCACCCAGGCGCCCCTCGGTTCTTTTGGATAATAAGTTCTTTGCCTTCGCTGGGCTTGGTCTCGTCGCCACGGCCCCTTGATCTATAAGCGTCCTGTGGAGGGGCTACGTGGTGCTGCGGGCGGCTCTGTCCACACAGCCTTCCTTCCTTCGCTCGTTGTAAACTGTCAGTGCTGAAACGCTCTTTCTGGACCTAATTCTTAACTTAGTGCTCCTTGGGCATTTTCATTTCTCCTCGAGGTGAGAACTCAAAAAGTTGTGAAGGCGTTTAAGGTCCTGTCTGTGGAGTTTCCCCATGACTTTCCCGTCACGGGCTGTGGTTCACCGCATACACTGATGGGCCTGCTCTTTGCCCTCCTTTCTGCGTCCACGCACCCACCCACCCCCTGGTCCCAGAGAGGAGGCACGTGCAGTGCCACTATGAGTGCCACTCCCCACTTACCATCTATCCCCCGGACTTTGCCATGTTCCCAGCTCTGTTTTAATTTATTCCAAGCTGCACTTGTCCGCATGCTGGTCCTTTCTGCTTGCGTGCCTCGGTTACCAGGTTTGTCGGGGAACCTGACGCCATGGCAGCCCCTGGGTGGGAGCAGCACGCCCATGTCGCTCCACAGAGCCCTCGTCCTGGTGAGCAGCCCATCACCTGATGCTTGTGATGCAGGAAGGAGTTTGTTTACCTGGATTGGTAACATAGGAAGTCTTATCAATTCAACCTCTGAAGTGCTTATAACAAATAGCTGTGAAGCATTGTGTTTTTTTAAAAGCTGCCCTTCTTCAGATTACTGACCTGTATTCCAGGCCCTCAGCCCAGTGTCCAGAGGTTCTCCACCTGCACACTCAAGGGTGTGGATGCAAGTCTGACTCCACAAGGTCCCCAGCTTGGTGTCCTCCTCTCGAAACAGAGATAAGCCTCCAAATCGAGGGCAGCAGCGAGTTCATGTGGCAGGTGACCCACAGGCTCTCCTATTTGTGTGAGAATTCCCAAGTGTGACCACAGTGGGCCAGGTTCTGATCAGAACTCAGCATCAGATCCACATGGCCATCCAGCATGGCTGACCTGAGGGAGGTCAGGCCTCTGCCTTGTGCTTTGTGCACACATTTTCTGTTCCCACTCAGTGCAAACTCTGTAGCATTCAGCCTCCTCCTGACATGACCCAGCCTGTGCTCATCCACGAGCCCTGAATTCAAGCCACCTAGATGGTGGGCTGCCCCAGGTCCTTTGCTTATGCTCTGCTCTGTGCCTGGAAGGGTCTTGCCATCCACACCTGGGTCTGACAGATCCTACCCGTGTTTCAAGGCCCAGGTCAAGTGCCCCCTAAAGTTGGGGACTGCAGGTAAACAGCAGTGAGATAGGGGCTGCTGGGAACTGAGAAAGAGGCAGGGGTCATACAGCAGCAGCGAGGATGAGATCTGGATTCCTGGGCCCAATTCCACCGTGGTGAGCACCGTGCAAGTCTCAGCTATCACTCAGGTATCATCTGGGTGCCTGACCATTCAATTCAATTCTTTTATTATTGAAGTGCAGTTGACGTCTGATGTTGTATTAGCTTCAGGTGTACAACATAGTGACTTAACACTTGTGTCTCCAGCTCTGGGCTCAACATGATCAACTCAGTCCTGACACCATCCACCCAGAAACAGCGTGAGGTCCCACGGATTAGGGGCTCAGCCCCACCCAACCGCCCCTGCCCCCACCCCAGACGCCAGTCCCCAGTCCTGTGCTTCTCACCACAGGCTACAGAGTGGAGGCTTCCTCCTCCTCTGGCACACTACTAATCCAAGCTATTGTTTTGGAAACTTCTACCTGAAATCGTTTTGGCGTCATTTAATTTTAAGAGTCTGTGCCTGTGAGCGTGTCTTTGTGGGTCATGAAAACTCTTCCTAGGCTGCAGAACAGACCTGGGAGGCGGACGTCTGCATAGTCATTTCATAACTGTTGAGAAGGTGGCATTAGTGAGCAGCTCTGATGACCTCGGATGCCCACAAACTCGTGCTGCATTTGGCAGGGTCTGTTGCTGGGCGTCCATGCCTGCCTACAGCCAGACCCAACACCGACCAGCTCTCAAGGCAGAGAGTTAGTGTAGGTGTTCGCTTTCCGCAAGCTGACAGTCAATGGTGGCCTTTGTCATTCAGCCAGGAGAAGCAGACGGAGAAGACCAGGTGGACTCAGGGTGCCCGTGCGTGGGCAGGAGACCCCTGCGAGACTTCGTCGGGCTGGAGGACTGCGATAAGCCCACTCGGGATGCCATGCTTCGTTTCAGCTTCTTCGTTACCATCGGAGACATGGATGAAGCTTTCAAATCTATTAAACTCATCAAAAGGTGAGGACTCTGCTCCCTGCGGTGTCAAAGGGATGTGCACGGCTCTCGGGGTCTTTCTTTAGGTCTCTCTCCCCTTCTAAGTGAGCTTCTGAGAATCAGTAACTCTTCTGTGACTGTTGTGCTGTATTTCATGGTTTGTCACCCGTGGAAATGCTGCTGTACTTGGGGACGCCAGGACCCCACTGGCACACTGTGTCACCGAGGAGGCGTGTTGTGACAGCACGGTGGGGCTTGCAGAGCGGGTGAGCCTGGCTCTCCTCTGCGGGGCTCCTGGTCTCCTGGGCTGCTACTAGCTTGATTTATTGTCAGCCGTTCCATATTCTTCCTCCTCAAAAGTTCTGCAGTTGCTAAATATTTGTAATACCTGTTCCTCTGGGAATAATTGCTACTAACAGGAAGGTTTGAATAACAAACACTCAAAACAGTATAGTGAAAATGCAATTAATATTGTTCTAAAGAAATTTTTTTCTCAAAGAAATTTTTTAAAGATTTTATTTATTTGAGAGAGAGAGAACGAGTAGGGGGAGGGGCAGAGGGAGAAGCAGACTCCCCACTGAGCAGGGAGCCCGATGCGGGACTCGATCCCAGGACCCTGGGACCATGACCTGAGCCGAAGGCAGATGCTTAATGGACTCAGCCACCCAGGCGCCCCTATTTAATTTTAGAGGGGGAGAGAGTGAGCGCCTGTGTGTGTGGGGAGGGGAGAGGGAGAGGGGAAGCAGACTCCCCACTGAGTGTGGAGTCCCACGCGGGTCCAGTCCCAGGACCCTGGAGATCACGACCTGAGCCAAAACCAAGAGTCAGAGCTCAACTGACTGCACCACCCAGATGCCCCTTTTCTAAAAGAAATTCTTACTCAAGGGCTGTCTGCAAGCAGCCTCCTCTCCATTCCTGAGAGAATTCAGCAGTTCTTCTCCAGAGCATTTGACAGATTTTAATCTCCAAAGAATAGAAAAATTATTGCAAAATGAAACTAAAATGGGAAAAAGATGAAAAATTAAGTCACCTAGAACAGATGCCCCTCCTGCCCTGCCACGGGACGCCCCCTCATTGGCAGCAAAGGTTTCTGTAACACAGAAGCACCTTTCAAAATAGCACACAAAGGACGTCTGCGTGGCTCAGTCGTTAAGCGTCTGCTTTCGGCTCAGGTCATGGTCCCAGGGTCCTGGGATCGAGCCCCACGTCGGGCTCCCTGCTCAGCGGGGAGCCTGCTTCTTCCTCTCCCACTCCCCTGCTTGTGTTCCCTCTCTCGTTATATCTCTCTCTTTCAAATAAATAAATAAAATCTTAAAAAAAAAAATAGCACACAAGCCCTAGTCCCTTCCTTATTTCTAAAATAGTGAGGCCAAACCTTGTTTGTGATAGAAGAGCCTTTTGTACACTGGCTGTGGGTGTGGACAAGAGGGCTCTTAGTTTGGGGGGGCGGAGTGAACCGAAGTCTGGATGGCACAATCCAGCGTTCCTCTGGTTATTTTTCATTTAATATAAACGCAGTCACAGACCGTGACCGACCACAGGGTCAACTTGAATACTTCCATGAACCCTTACATAGTCGCATATGTAATAGTGTGAGGTTGTGTATCTTAAATATTTCATTATTTTTTTAGGAGACTATTATTTTTAGCATGTGATTTGGGGTTGGGGGGGGAGTCCTTTGTGGACAGAAGCTCTGAGGGAGGAAGGTCAGATTTGAATGTTGCCTTGAGTGTGCTGGTGTTGGACATAATCTGTTATTTCTACAGTGTGTGATGAGTTTATTGTAAATGTTCAGGCCACAGATGCTTTTCGGTCATTCTCGATTGTGTTATGTTTTTTAAAGCACCAACCCCAATCCACTGTTCTGACTGGAGACAAACTCCACACTGATCACCACACTCTCTGGAAGGTCGGAAGCAGCAAGGCTGAACGTTTCTTAGTGGGGGGCAGCCTCATGTGGAGGAGGCAGCCAGTGGGCCTGGGCCGGACCCCAGCTTTGCATGCTGCCCATGGGCCCCCATGTCAGTTTCGTGGGAGTCACTGATGCCAGGTGGCACGGGGTCAGGCAGGGCAGGGTCCAGGAAGCGTCCAGGTGGGTGCAGGTGGCAGGCTGTCCTTACAGATGTGGTCAGGCAGTCTGGGGTTCTCGGAGCGGCCCCGGGTTTGAACTCCTCAGGTGCAGCTCTTTGATGTTTTCTGAAGCCTGGGGAGGTGGCGCTGATTCACCTCTTCCAGATTTAGGACCAGGGTTGTTTGGAATTGGTGGGGTATCGTGAAGGCCATCGGTAGACCACCCAGCGTCTGGCTGAAGCTAGGTTGAAGATTTTTATAGGGAAAAACATAAAGTAATCTCTGAATATTCTTTAAATAAATAAACGCTTTTCCCTCTTACTCTGCCATTTGTTGATCTGCTGTCCCAGGGCCACAGTGTTCAGTCTGTAGGAACAGGGGCGTCAGAGTTGAACGGAAATGTGAGTAAGGGCCCACAGCTGTGTTCCCACCAGGTCTTGAAAAATGTATCAAGCCTTCTCTTCCTGCCAACCCACAAAAATGACAGAAAAATAGACCAACTTCTTTTCACCCGTGTGGCAGTATGATGGATAAAACACAAGTTTTACACAGTGGTGAGAAGTTTGCATTTTATTTTAACTTAGAAAAATAATCAGGAGCAAAACAGACATTAGGAACACAGTCCTGTCATAAAGCCGTAACCATCTGATTGTAAATTCTGAGTCACTCAAGGAAGACCACAGACAGTTCCAGAAAATCTTCCCGGGTATTCTGCTTTACCAAAGTAAATATGACCAAAGACCCACCGCTCAGCAGATACAGAATAAATTAATCCTAGGCCAAGATGCAGAACAAGCTGGCTGCCACTGTCCATGCACCTCAGCCGCTGGTCTCCTCCTTGGAATGTGCTCAGAAGTGAAGCCGAGTCGTGGGTGCATCAGAAGGAGGTGGCGCAGGCAATATATAACCACATAATATATTTATATATAACAGTAAACATAGCTGTGTATCGTACATGTATATATAGGAAACCCTATGAGTTGCCCACACAGACAGCCCTTCAGTTTCTATACTGTTTAGTTATAGTGATAAAGTCCTGAGCAGGCTCAGCACGGTGACTCCACATACTCGTTGTCCAGCCCTCGGCGAAACCGTGCAGTCAGGGAGCGGCTGATGACAATCACCCGGGGCCCAATGCAGTCCTCCCTCCTGTGAAGAATGTTCCAGATGAGCATGGCAGCTGCCAGGGTGGCCAGAAGGCAGGCGCCAATGTTCAGGTAGCAAGACCAGGACAGGTTGGTATACGGGCCGATTCTGTAGAATGTCACCAACCCAATGACCAGGACGAAACCTGTAAACGAGAGGGAAGTGTTCAGAAAGCCTTACTTGGAGCCAGGAAGAGGACTGGAAATGGGCTGTCGAGCCCCACAGAAGCGCAGCTCCCAGCTCTTCCCTGCCTCCCCACCCCCCCACCCCGCTCTGTCCGTCCCAGTGGGTGGTAGCCTGATTCACATACCGCGCTTCAGTGTTGAGCTGCTTTGCATTGGGCCTCTCTGCGCTTTTATGACCTTTGTGTGGCTGTGGAGGGACAGTGTGCGTCTACTTAATCCTGGCACGGAATAATTTCGGGGGGGTGCTCCACAAGAAAACAGCCTGGTCCCGGCGCACTCATCCTTTGGTCTCCAGGGCTGGGCCATTTTCTTAGCCACCTATCCCATGGAGGTGAACTGCTGCTCCCTGTCCCTCACCCCGAGACGAATCCAGCAGCAGCTCTGCGTGAGCTCCTCCCCAGCGCCTAGAAGCACTTTATTCATTCAAGCGAAAGTAGACACAGAAATTGTCTAAGTCTTATCTAGAAACAACTCAGATTGGTATCTAATGCAGTCCTGTTCTTAGCAGTTTTCTTGTTCTTAGTGTTCGCTTCTAGAGAAGATAGAGATTTTCTTCACAACTCCAGAGTGCCCAGCCCCCACGTGCTCTGGAGAGGGGCAGGCAGGGCTGCAGACACAGCCACTTCTCCTGCGGTTGCCTCCCCTCGCCTCTGCACCCTGCACCTGGTCCTGCAGTTTCCCTCGCACTTCCACATCCCCTCCTCCTGCTTACTTCCCCTCCACAGCCTTTTCTTCTGACAGTGGACAGAGTCCTGCACGGGCCTCACGTTGCTGGCACTTAGCACCACGGTGTCACTTCCTGTCAGGGTTTGTTAGTTCTTGCGATAGGAAAGCCGGAGTTCGTGCCCAGGACCTGTCGGCTAGGATAACAGGGCACTGATGTTTGCTAGAGTTCAGGGCTGAGTCTGGGCTGGGAGACCCACAGGGACAGAGGAGAGGCCCTGCTGTCCTGCTGCCTAGGAGGCTGGTCCAGTGCAGCCCTCCAACCCCTCCGCCAGGACAGGCCAGATGAGGCAGATGAGGTAGGAAGGAGGCGCAGTGCTGAGTGGGAGCTGTGGCTGTTGAGGGTGAGGGGGCCGGGCAGAAGCAGAGGCAGGGGCAGCCCAGGGAGCATCCCACCCTCTGTGGTGATGACCTGGTGGGGAGCTGTTTCTTGGAACCCAATGTACCTGATGAGGACAAAGTCGCTTGCAGTGGTCCGGACGGAAGCTTCCCGCCCCTCCTGGACTCATCCCTGTCCCCTGCCCTGGGCTCTGGCCAGGCCAGCCTCCCACTGCAGTCCCTCCCCCTGCCCTGTGCTGTGACATCCGTCCGTCTGTTCATGCTGGTCCCTCCGTTCCCCACTGCCTCCCCTGCTTTCCTCAGGAAACCAGATCATGCACGACCCCTGTGGCCCCAGAACTGAGCCGCAGTGGTGCCAGCTCATGGTTCTGGAAACTGTTATGAACTAGTGTGGGGTGAGGGGTGGGGGGAGGCCTGAGCTCTCACAAGCACAAGCAGTTCGGTCTCATCATCACTGTACCGTCCAGAGAGTATGAATTAAACATTTATGCACCTTAGTCACGTGCTAAACAACAGTGGCAGTGACTAATCTCCACATTAATTCTCTGCAATACTTCGGGGAGCTTTTTATACACAGAAAGCTTCTGGATACTTCCTTTCTGTTAAAAATAACTAATTCTCTTTGTCATGCACACTGACAGAAAGAAACTCCTGGCATTTCTCTCTCTCCCAGTGAAGAGCATGTCGCTTGCCCACAGTTCTGTGGTACCGAGGTTTGCATTCGTGGGAAAAGGAGTGATAGTCCACTTTGTGCCATGAAAATGAAAATACTTCCTGTGTCCCCTCATATTTCTGTGTCTTTGGGCATTTTTTGTCAGCCAAGGGAGCTTGTCGTGCCTTGTTTCAACAGGACTCAGCAGGACGGGGCGGGCAGGGACATGTTGGCTGGTGCCTGAGGTCACAGCGAGGGGGCTGTGGCTGGGGGACAGGTGTTTGCTGCGAGGCCAGTGGAAGCCTTCGGGCAGGGAGCCAGGCCGAGCAGAGAGGGCACTGCCTGCAGGGCACAGCAGTAGGGACCAGCATAGTGGGCAGGAAGTCACCGCGACGGCTTCTGTGGTCCAAGTCTGTTCGCCCTTTGCCAAGCATCCTTTGGGGTTGCACTGGTTACAGGAACATTTAAAAATCTGATATGCAGCCTGAGCCCCAATTCTACGACATCACTCATTGTGGGGATGTGTGCAGGGGTGAACAGCCTCGCCCCAGCCCCACGGCTAACTGGGGTTGGCTGACCGCGCTGATGAGTAGAGACAGGGCACCGTGAAGTCCATCATGAGACATTTCTGTGAAGACCGGGGCAGAGCTGGTCTGGAGCTGGAAGGAGCCAGGCGCCCTTGCCTGCCAGAGCCGGAAAGGACAAGGCCCCTGTGTTGCTCAGGTGCAGGGCACTATGGCCTCTGTGCCTTTGCCTGGCCTCAGATCTCTGCCCCCATCTCCATCTCGGTTATGGTGTGGCCACACCAGCCCCTGTCCGCTCCTCCAGGATGCCGAGTTTCATCCTCTCTGGGCCTTTGCTGGTGCTGCTGGCCCTGTGCTTGACCAGCCCTGGGGAGGGGGCTGCTGGTAGCACTCAGCCTGGAGGTCCAGTCACAAGTCGGCCCGTTGCAGCTCGGGCTTGGCCTATCCCCTGCTGGCGACCCCGTGGCTGGAGGGCGCCCCCCCACCCCCGCTCCAGCTCTGCCTCCCAAAGGGTCGTCCAGGAATCACCTAGTGAATTATCTGAGACAAACCCAGGTAGATCCCATGGTGCGGAATTGAATGCAGTATGGGCCTCTGGGGAAGCTTTATAGTGACCAAGCCCATCAGGGGACAGGGCCCATTCGCCATGATTGTGTCGCTCAGGGTTGGAGCCGCAGCAGGACGTGCTGGTCCCCAAGCTGTTCACTAGTTTCCATGCGCGTGTGCTCAGCACAGCTGCTCGCACTGCACGGAGGGCTTGTAGTGTGCGCGCGGCAGAGGCATGCTTGACTCGTCTTGGGGGAGCTGGTTTTCTTCTTAGAGTGGGGAAGATGAAATTTATCCGCACAGCATGGTGCTCCAGGTCACAGAGTCACCAGGTCCAGTGTGGTGAGCGCAGGCCGGGGAGTCTTGAACCGGCAGTGTAGCGGGGACAGGCCCACCTAGACCCTGCCAGAGAGTGGTGTTGGCTGGGCCTTTGACACCAGGAGATCCCATTGTAGGGACACTCTGAACTCTAGGCAGTGAAAATATTAACTCACGGGACCAGTCGACAAAGCGCGTGGGCAGAGTAGCTGCTGGCTTCCGGAACGCCACGCAGCACCGCCACGCCGGGGCCTGGCCACAGGGCAAGATGTGGGACTCTTGTCCTGTGTCTGTATTGGCTGGCACCACAGGGTTACTTGTTTTCTTAAGGTCAGTATCATATAACGGTATATTCTTGAGCATAGGGTAGGCTATTATTTTGTTGCTGCCTCAGTCTGTGTATTAGTCCTCCCTTATGTTTGGCTCTGTTGCCCACAATGTGCACAATCTCAGAGCGTGGAGCTACTTCAATGTTGAGAGTAAGGTTTTTCATATTACAGATGGAAGAACAGTCAGGGGTGGGCAGATTGATTAGAGAATATGAACTCACAGGTGCACAAACAAGCTGAGCACAGCTGCCCCCATCCCGCAAGGTGATGGGTCGGTGTCAGCGCAGAGCCTGACAGACGGAGTCTTAGAGCCTGTCCGTCTGGGACACTACTGACCGCCTGACAGTAAGCGGCCCTGGGCACATTTCCAGCACCATCCATGGTGCGTCTCACCTCTCTGGCCTGCTCTTCACAGGCTGCACCTCACTTGGCTCTTTTTTCTAGGAGAAGTGGAAAAGAACGTCTAGTTCTGTATCCTCATGTGAAAAAAGGTTTAAAGAATTCACATTTAGGTGACTTTTTCTGTGTAAAGACCCATGTTAGCTTTTGCTTTGTTTCGGTTCAACTTAGAACACATATAGTCAGAGAAAGGGCTTGACTCCCCAACATTAAAAAAAAAAAACGAATTTAGGAAAAGCCTCTCCTGATCAGGAAGATACCAGGAACCTACTAGAACAACGGCGCAAGGACAGGTGGACCCCGCCCAGGCCACTGGGGGTGGCACAAACTGCACAGATGCATGGCACACAGGGATCTCCCGTGTGTGCCACGTGTCAGCAGTGAAAAGCCGCGGGGACATGGACGGGCACGTGGCCTTGTTGGCCACCTCCAGCCTCTGCCTGGGCACTGGGTACCTGCCGTTACATAGACATTCTTCTGTAATCCAACTTGCTGTTTGCTTCATGAAATTCTCCTGCTGGGGGGGGAGGAGGGGTGTGGGAAGTAGACCTGGGCCAGGCTGGCCTTATTAACTCATGGGACCAGTTGACAGAGCAACTGGATGTGCCAGAGACTTGGGCTTCCCCATCTCTGGCACATCCTGGTGTGGAGACCCCCTCAGAATTGTCCCAGAGACTTTTCTCCCAAGACTTCCCAGTGATGTTCATGTTTGTCCAGAAACAAATGCAAGGGGAGACTTTGAGCAAACACCCTGAATTCTGCATGTGGAGTCAATTCCATCCTCATGAATTTCTGTTTCCAAAGCAAACAGCCCCTTCCTGTGAGCTGGCCACGAGGGCTCTATGAATCACAGCTCAGCCTGCAGAGCGTCCCTTTCCTCTCGCTTCCTTCCTGCCTGCTTCCGAGGGCTCCAGTGCCTGTCACAGGGCCTTCCTGTTGGGGTGACGGTCAAGCACACGCAGGTGGTATAAGGAGAGACCATGGGGCTGAACCCTGAACCTTCACACAGCACACCTGGTTCACGTTGCGCCTGTGACAGCTTCCAGAGAGAGTATTCACAGAGCAAACTCACTCATGGCCCGTCTCAGGGCACGGCCGTGGTTGGGATGTCCCAGCACCTGTGAGCCGCAAAGGGATGGGATCCACGTGTTCCTCTCCAGAGGGAGGGATTCGGAGGGATTCTGGGAAAGGAAAAGCCAAACATACAGCAGACCTGGTCATGTTTCCACGGAACTGAAGCTCCCAAATGATGCCTGACATGCTGTCACTCTGAGCAGCACAGAGGACATGGAAGTGAAGGGAAAACACAGGGTACGTTGGGGGTGCAGACCGGCGCCAGGGAAGCAGGTGCCAAAGACAGAAAAGCACGTTGTCCAGACCAAGCGAGCATCACCCTATTGTGAAAAACAGAAAGTTGTATATTCCTATGAGAAGAACAGCAGAATCCCCACCGGCTCACGAGATGCCAAGACAGCTGCCGCTAATCAACCCGACTGCCCCGTGAGGTCCGACGACATGAGCATTCTCAGGGGCACAGAGTACTTAGCGTGTTTTAAGTTTTGCCATCATAAGAAAAAATGTTAGGATTTCCAGAAGCCAGAGACAAGGAGTCCAGGAACTTCTGCCGTGATTCTGCTCCCACGGTAGTCCCGCTAGAGCTTGGGAGGCTTTGTGTCAGGAGGAGGGCCGGGCCGGGAGCGGGCTAGTGAGGGCTGGCATCCACTGGCTGCAGGACATGTGTGGTGCAGGGACAGCACTCTGAGGGGCCAAGTGCCAGAGCTGCATATCTGTAAGTTCACTGGCTTGGGAGCGTTGCGTGAGCTCCGTCGGGCCTGCTTGGTCAGCCTCCCCAGAGGAGGTGAGGAGTCGTTGGCTAGGGTCCCGAGGAGAGCCCAGTACCATCTCAGAGGCACTCAGAACACAGCAGAGAGCGGAGGCCTCTGCAAGTCGGCTGTACGTTTGTACTTGAACTAGACCTGTTTGTGATGGCAGTCGCACTTTAAGAAGAACTGTAAGTCTGAGCAAGCTGCAGGGTCACTCAGATGATTGACAAGGAGCCTGGACTAACGTTCTGCACACATGGAGGTGGGCCAGCCACAGAGCCTGGAATAACCATGAGATTGTCCCCCCTAAAAATGTTCACCTGGGACCCAGTTTGGTCAGTCAGTCCTGCACAGCCGACAGCCAGGGCCCAGGGCCGTGAGCACCTGAAGAGCCACAGGACGGTCACACTTAGAAAATTTTGGAGCCACCCTCTGGGGTGGTCCTCAGGCCTGCTGGCAGGGCTCTGGCACGGACTCCAGGTGCAGTGGGGAGTGCTCGGCTCTGAGCAAAGAGCGGTGTGGCATCCCCAGCAGGCCCACCGGGGGAAGTCAGGGTGGTCACAGCGGCAGGCATGACAGAGCCGCCATCAGCCAGTTGGTCCCACTCTCTGGCTGCACAGGAGCTAGGGTTGAGGTGGCTCATCCAGGGCCTCGGAACCTGACGCGGCACCTAGATGCCCCAGGACCGCATAGGAGCCTCACCCCGAGGTGCCCGCCAGACACACTGCCTGCCAAATCGGCCCTCGGCAGTCTGCTCTGCCCCAGGCGTCGGTCAGGTGTGTGACGCAGGGTCCGACACATCTGAAGTAGTCAGGCCAGGATGACCATGCGCCTTTGTTCACACAGCAGTGAGACCAGACTCGGACGAGCAGAAGTCGGCCAAAGCAAGAGTAAAGGACAGAGGATGGGTCTGCAGAGCCAGCCTCCAGGAGCCCGTACAGGAACGTGGCTGTGGGAGGGGGCTGCTCGTGCTTGGGTGGGGGTCGGCCCAGTGGCCACCGCACGGGCAGATCCTCATCACACCCCCACAGCCCCGATGGGAGCCGTCGCCACAGGGAAAATGGGGGTTGCATGCAGATGTTCAGCTTGTGGAGGTGGAGTAAGGGACAGAAAGTAATCTTTTCAACTTTAAGGTAGATTAAAATCACACTTGGAAGCTTCTGCAAGGAAGGTGGAAACTGCTGGGTGTGACTTTGTGAACAGAATGCAGCAGGTGGAATGGCTGGCGGGGACCTGTTTGAGGACAGCAGCTTTGGAGCCCTGAACGTCCCTACGACAGGGTCCCTCAGAGGAGCAAGTGTGAGGAGCAGGGCCCGGTGCCCGGACGGGAAGAGCGGCGGGCAGGCGGGGAGTCGCCATCCTTGCTGGGTTCCAGCCTGCCCGGCCTCCCCGCCTCCCCGTGAATTCATCAGCACCTTCTCTCCCCGCTGCCCACCCTCTGGCCCCAGCACTGGGGACTGAAGGTTCGCTTGCATAACAGGTACCAGCAGGCATTTCCCCTCCTGGGACAGGATATCCCGGCGCCCTTCAGTCTCTCTCCCTGACTGTTTAAAGCAGACCGGAGCACAGGAAAAAACCTAACTCTAAAATTAGCAGTGTGGTGGAAGAAAGACACATGGCTGCATTCTGTACTGTTTGTCAATGAAACAAGTCTAAACAGGGCCAAGCGCATTTCCTTTTTGGGCAAAACAGACCTGTGGGAGTGATGGTGGGACACCTCCGGGCGAAGCCTCCGGGAGAAGCCTGCAGAGCCAGTGCTCCTGGCTTTTCCCGTCAGCCTGTACCGGTCTGATCTGTGAGCGGAGGCTGCCCCGGTCTGGGGACAGCCAGGAGAGAGCACCTCCGCCCCACAGACAGGACAGGCCCCAGGACGTCCCAGGGCTGCTGCCAGACAGCTCCCGTTTCCTTCACAGGGCTCCCCCATCTCCATTTGCGCGAAAATATGTGATTTGGAAGCAACACTGTCTTGTTCTGAAATGAGGGTTCGCAGGAAGATGTCCGTTTGACACCAAACCCACAGTCTCTCTCCCAATAATTCTAAATTAAAAATGCTGTGGCTTGTTTATTCTGCTGCAAGGAGTTATTTTCAGAATCAAGAGCTGTTCCTTTCATTTCTTCAATGCCTGAATATCTGAATATCTGTTCCTAATCTTCCACTTCCTTCTGGAGGGGATGGAGTTTCAGATAAGCCCATGCAATAGAAGTGGGCAGCCTCAGTGAGGCTGAGGACCCCATTTCTGCCTTGTGGCCCTAAGGTCAGCGGAGGGCAGAGGAGTGATTTTCTGAACAGTCACTGTCCTTTGGGATGTGCATGTTTTTAACCCACCTCCTTGGATAAGGGAAGGAGGCCGAGGTGGTCAGAGACCCTGTCTCACCCACATCTCCTTCCTTCTCAAGACCGGCCCTGTGGGGGCAGACGGACGCGCCAGCCCCAGTTCCTGCGCATTGCAGGTGACAGAGCCAGGGTGCCTGTCCGGCTCCCTCAGCCCCACAGCTGCTCTTTCCTGCAAACTGTCTGGTCGGCCCTGGGCGCTCCCGGGCCCCGCGGGCGACCCAGCCATGGGGAAGTGACTGGCCCAGGACCACCCGCCTTCTATTAAAAGGCACAGGAAGGCCTGTTTCCAATTCCTGATTCCCACCCAGCTCACTTTCCAGCATATGAATTCCTGCCAGTCTGTCAGCCTCATTCTCCAGAAGGATAAAGGCCGGGGGCCATTATTCCCGGAATGATTCACTTCATACTTCCTGCGGTTTCTCTTCCTGGGTCTGCTGGAACTGTACCTTCAGTGTTGGGGCATGCTGCCATTCCCCAGCAGTGGGAGAGGCAGGTGGGTCAGCTGATCACATCCCCACATTCCAGTCCACGTCATCCCCGCACAGGACCTCCATTCACATGCTCGCCAGTAGGCAGCAGAAAACCCGAACGTCCCCAGGTGAGCCAGCAGGAAGGAGGCGTCGGGGAGGGGAAGCTGCAGAGAAGACCCCCCGGGATCACGTGAATAGCTTCTGTGGCTTCCATGACCACTTGTGCACAACTTCCCGAAACAATCCTGTCTCTCGTTTACACCGCCGCTGCCACCATTCTCAGCCTTCCAAGACCATGGGTATGCCCGCGCCCTTTCTCAGTTCACCCTACAGCCGCCCCCAAGGCCTGGCCGGTGTGGCTTCCCACCCCGCTCCTGTGGCGGCATGTGCCGTTGGGTGTGGGAGCCAGGACAGGCCCGGTGCGCTCAGGAGCTAACGTGTCCTCCATGCTTTGTGCTGCTCAGGAGGAAGGACCTGCCGATGACCCTGGCCGGGTCCCGGAAGCTGCATTGGTCATGGAGCGTGCAGATGAGCTTGGCTGGACCCTCGTGCTCGCCCTGACCTCCCCATTCACACAGCATTAGTGGGGAAGGCGAGACGGCGGAGGTGCGGGCTCAGGTGGGGGCTCTCCCCCTGCCTGTGGCAGGCTGCTGCACCATCACAGGTGGGGCTTGACCCCAGGCCACCAGCCATGTTGGCTGCAGACAGGCAAAGACATAGCAGATGCCGCAGACTTCCGAAAGCAAGCACGTGAGCCTAGAGCGCCAGCACGCGGAGTGCCCTGTCTTACAGCGGGAGAGGGCGGGAGCCCAGCCATGTGCTCGCTGCAGCCTCAGCGCCCCCACCTGTGGTTCTGTCTCACTTCTGCCCACAGCGAAAGGTGGGAGGGTGACCCATCCCATGGGAGTCGCGGTGACATTAGAAGACCGCAGCGGGCCTGCCAGCCCCACGCGACCACGTGTGCGGCCGCCCTGCCTGCCCGGGGCCCCGGGGCTACTCACTCGCCAGCTGGAACGCAGCAGCCATGGCCTCCTCCCAGCACTGCGAATCTGGCGACAGCAGGGGCAGGCCCGCCAGCCCCAGGACGAAGGTGAGCTGTCCTGCAGCGAGCGCTGCCGTGGCCACCAGGTTGCAGGCGCGCATCATGTCGAACTGCACTGTGGGAACGACAGGGGACAAGACAGGTGGTCAGCTCCGGCAACTCCTGCCTCCGTCTGCACCCAGGGCCTCACCGACCCGCCCTCCCTGCCCTGTGCTCTCCACTCCCCCGGGGGTAGGGGGCGGTTCGCAGTGCTGGCTTGAGAGGCCCGTGGACAGACACAGCGTCCCCACGTGCAGCGTGCCCGCCGTGATGCCGGGCCCCAGCCTGCCGCCGTGTCTGCGCCCCGGTGTCTGTGACTGTTGCCCTTTGTAATTAGCGCCTGAGGAGCCCGGAGTGAACCGACGTGTCACACTGCTCCCCGCCCCAGGCCCAGCTCCTCCTGCCCATCAGGAGTCAAGCACCTTCCTCCTCCCCGTTGTCTTTCTTTTGCAGGCTGAGGGCTCTTGCCCTTTGCAGATTCTGGGCCTTTCCCTGAGGCCAGCAGCGCAGATACGAGCAGGGCTGAAGAGCAGAGGCCTGGCCGTTGGGAAGTCAGGGTGGCCCTGAGGGCAGATCGGGCCTCCTGGAGGTTGACAGTCCCCACCTGCCCAACTTCTTCATCGTGCTCAACTGGCGGCTTTTGCCCTGGCTGGCCATGTAGATGAGCCGTGTGGACAGTGAGTGCGGCTGGCTATGCCCTCTCACCGGCTTTTCTCCCCAGTATCGCTCTCTTGCCCAGCGGGCTTCACTCCCACGGGCTGAGAGCTCACGCTGTGCTCTTGAGAGTAGCTGCAGTTCGTCCCTGCCATTGCTAGAAACCCTGACACTCGTCTGATTCAGTAAACGCCCGGGGTGCCAGAGGCCAGGCCTGGCGAGTGCAGGGCTCCTGGCACTGGGGTGGCAACGGGGCCTGGCTGGGGAAGGTGCCAGCACCCACATTTCCTCACCTCCCCTGCCTGAGGTGGCCGCTCGGGCTGAGAGCCAGGCTTCAGGCCAATTTGCCAGAACCTTCCTGGCTGCCCAGGCAGTCTTCATGGTGGAACCCAAGGTGCAGCCAGCTTGACCAGTGGCCGCACGTGCATGCAGGACACCAAAGTGGTCCTGCTGTCAGGACAGATCAGGCTTCAGGCAGGTCCTTCCCGTGCGCTGAAGACTGGCCGAACTGCCTTCCTGTGGAGGCCCTGCTCTTCATATGCTCCTTCTGGGGTCTTCACACCCCGTGTTCTTTGCAGTTAGTTTTACCAATACGTGACCACACAGAGGTTCTTGTAGCCTCAAAGGTGGTCGGATCTGGGAGGTAGGTGTGACCTCAGAGACGAGGGGCAGTAAACACGGTGGGCGCTGGGGTTCAGAGCTGGCCCAGGGAAGTGCAAGGTTCCCCAGCGCAGCCTCGCAGCCAGGCAAGGAAAGTCTCGCGCATGGGGCACACTCGCACGGAGGGGAGTGGCCTGCCCTCCCGCTCCCTCCGCCCAGCTCTCTGTCCTTCCTGGTGCACAGCTCAAGCCACACACCCTGGCCACCAGCGGCCCTCTGTGGCATCCTCACCCCATCAGCCTCCGGCCCCGTGGACGTGAAGATGTGGGAGGGTGAAGGATAAAGCATTGACGGCCCACAGACCCACCACCTGCCTGAGAAGACTGCCCTGTGGGCCACGCTCCCTCCGCCAGCCACCGGGAGGGGACCTGCGATGGGGGAGGGGGTGCACGTGCACAGGCGTTTGACAGGCTGTGATCACCACGCATGTAGCCTGGGCAGCAGCATCCCACAGAATGTGGCATGAGGGTCTGTGGCCGGGTAGGCCCAGTGCCCTTTGTCTGCCTCGGTGGTCAGAGAGCAGGGATCCCCTCCGGGCTAGGTGCCCAAGGTTTAACTGCATGTTTACTCGTCCCTTACTTGCTTTAGAAAAGGAGGTTAGGGGGCCTGACAGAATGTCTGGAATTTGGAAAGATGAGAAACGCCCAGAGAGCAAGTCTGACCGGGACTGGGGTAGGGAGTTCTCCTCAGGCGCCAGAGGAGGACCTCACGTCTGCTGAATCCCCACGGCGCCTCACAGTGAGGAAAGCCGCCTGAGCAGGGATAACCATCACGATCGCCACACGCAGCCCAATGAGGGGGGCAGGAAGAGCCCCCCAGTCCTGGAGGACAGGACCCTGCGTGTCACTCAGGACCCCTGCAGCAGAGTCCCCTGACACAGTGCAGAACGTCAGGTGGTGCTCCATGATCACAGAGTGGCTCGGACTCTGGGCTCTGCAGGGCGTTGCCAGGACCCTGGGAGCAGAGCAGACAAGCATGAACCCCGTCTTTGGGCTGCTGCCCCCCGCCCACCTGCCACAACATCTGGAGACTCTAGGATGCCTGACTCTCGCACCTGAGTTGGGGAGCTTGGGATGGATTAAGTCAGGCCTGTGGCCACACACTGGCCTGTGACAGATCGAGATGACTTTCCACAGTGTGCGGAGTGGAGGGGTGTTCAGCGCTGAGCCAGCGTGAATCTGAGCACGGCGCCACCCGCTCCCTCCTCCCCCATCCCTACACCAGCGGAGTGGTGGCGCAGAGGGACCAGGGTTTTCCCTGGGACCTGGTCTGATGTGAGGCACCAGGTGCTGGGGGCCCCCACGCAGATTAGCCTGGCGTGCTGCTCCTGTCATCCTGCAGCTCGTGCACACGGACCAGGTGAGAAGTGGGTCAGCAACTCAGTCTCCCTCACGAGAACCTTCCACACTGTTGCCCTCTCTCGGGGCAAATACTGGCGCCCAGAGGTTACAGCTCAGCTGCCATGGATGCGTTACCAGTGGTGAGGATGTTGTAGAAGTCATACAAGAAGCTTGTCAAATCGTGGGAGGGACCACAGGCGGGTGGCCAGGTGGGAAGGGGGGTCTGGAGACAAGCACATCCCCACCCTGTGTACCCTCCTGGCCTTGGCAGGGATCAGAGGGTATCGGCGCCCAGGGAGGGCCCCTGCTTGACGTTGAGGCCCGGGCTGGGGGTGTTCTGTGGGTCAGGGTGGCGCAGAGCCCACACTAGAGCCTCAGGGTCGATGGCTTGCATGACTCCTCAGGACAGTCCCAGGACCCAGCAAGTCCCCTGGGACCCAAGGTCAGCTGTGCTGAGTTTTGAGTTTGTGGAAAAGTTTGAAAGCCCTGCTTGCCAGACACAGCCCGTCCCCGACAGAAGAACCCCCAGGCTACACGGCAAGGGGCTCTGAGTGGATAGACTGGGGTTGCCTCCCCCCAGGGACTGTGGCCGAGCACGTGTCTCCTGCAGCCTCCATCTCTTTGTGGAATTGGACGCCACCCCGACCCCAGCTCCCTCGTGGGTCAGGGCTCCAAGCACGTGCCAGGTGGGGACATTCCCACCCCGAGCACAGAGCTCACCTGTGCTGCTTGAGGACTTTGTGGACACCCTCTGAGAGCAGTTAGCAAAAGCCCTGCCAAAGCCTCACCTTCTCGAAAGGATGAGCTCTGTCTCCTGCTCATCTGTGAGTTAGACTCTCATCAACAGCTTCAAAGAGTCAACTCGGGGAGACCTCTGCCTGTCAGCTGCTGTGACCGCTTCGATGACATGGTCGGTGACAAATGTCTCACTGTGAACCTTCCCACCCGCACACTCAAACCTGACCCCGCGGTCAAAGTCCACTTCCCACCTTCCAGAGCAGCCGACAGACCCAGCCGCCAGCGACCAGCCAGGGCCAGGACAAGACCGCAAGGGGCTCTGCTCTTGAGAGCTGCTGCCCTGAGCCCCTTTGCTGCCCCCGTGGCTGGTCTCCTCCCGGAAGTTCTGCCTCGAAGACCCTGACAACTGTGGAGTGAAGTCGAACTCAGCCACGTGTTTTTAAGCTTCTTGTTTATTTTACTAATGAGGTGTATTTTCCAAGAAAAGTGATCGTCCTCAATCTGGTTAAGTGTGTCTGCCCTTTCCCTGTGTGTGGAGGCAGAGAAAAGCCCAACACCCGCACGGGAAGAATTCCATCCTAAAGGAGCTGGGGCAGGTTTGGGCGCCACCGGGAGGGTGGGCGCAGAGCTCGGGGCTCGCCTGGGTTGCCGGTCACCAAATACACGCCCCACGTCCACCTCGTGCTGCCAGAGTTCGCGGGCCCTGACCACCCTAAAGGAGGCATAAAAATAAGCAGACTTACGTTTGACGGTGCCTCGAGCCTCCTGGAAGCCTGCCACCTCAGAGCCCCAGCCCAGAGCTTCACAGTCCCGAGCGTCCGCCTGCCCTGGCCGGGCCCCAGGGCTTGGCCCTCCCCGGGCCCTGTCCACCAGCCAGCAGGACTTCCACAGCCCCACGCTCCGCTTGCGCCCGTCCTCCAGTGTCTGGTACACCCAGTTGGGGGTGAAGGCCGCCACGTTGTTGAGGACAAGAGAGACCAGGGCCACCAGCACTGCCGTGGCCACCAGTTTCTGGACAGTCATCTCTGACTGCCGGTGCTGTCCGCTTTTCGTGGAGAAAGTCCCAGTCCCGGTCAGCTGCTGTGGCCAGGGAGAGCCGAGACCAGCTAGGGGCTGCTAGAGGACATCACCACTCATTCTCAGTGGCATCGGGAAGGCCCATGTGACAGGTGCAGGTGAGCTCACCTCAGGCCCTCCCTACCCTCCCTCCTGCACCTGGAGCAGGGCCAGGCCTGAGCTGCAGCCAGCCTCTCGGCCCATCCCGGGGAGGAAGCCGGGGCACCAGCGAGAGTCCAGAGTCGTGCGTGCGCCGTCTTCCTGGGAAGCAAGGCCTCTCCTTCCCACAAGAAACAGGAGAGGTGGGCGGCAACGTGGGGGTCTGTCTCGCCTCACTGCTTAGAACCAGCGCCACAGAGCAAAACCAGCCGCCAGGCTCTGAGCAGGGCCGGGGGGAGCTGTGCCGGGAGCGGTTCAGCCTCTCACTGCGGGAGCCCCTGCCCTGTGCCTCTGCCACGAAACAGCCGGTCCTGGAAAGCAGCGAGCCTGCTGCAGGGAGGTGCATGTGCGTGTGTGTCTGTGTGTGCGCGCGTGTGCGGCCCCCCCTCCGCAGAGAGGAAATGGTTGTTTTTGAGGCTGTTTTTTGTGAGCTGGATGGAGGGCGTAGCCAACTGCAACAAATAGCGGCCAAGCCACGGCAGCCAGACGCTAACAGGATGTGTTTCCTGATAGGAAAGCAGGGAGGCCTTCTCAAGTCCTGCTCCAGGACCCTCCTCCCCTGCCCTCCCCACCTTCGTTTCCCAAGGGCAAGGCCCGGGGTGCCAGCCCACAGCAGACCCGTGGTCCCACCTGTGTGTCTTGGACCCCGCCAGCCTGGTGCTCAGGTACCACAGAGCAGCTCCAGAGGCAGATAGTGGCCACAGAGCATGTTCCTGCCCGGGGCCCAGGGCCTGGGTGGGCAGGATGCTGGTGGCTGGTCACCCACAGCCGTCCGCTGGTTCCCCCAGCATGTAGGTGCCCCAGGGCCTGCCCTTGTCACGGGTTCACAGGCAGTAGACGAAGTGGCCGGGCCTGGTGGAGAGGCCCCCACTTGCCACCCAGATGGGGTGGGTCAGGGGCCCACACCCGCAGAACCACCAGGCTGGAGCATCATCCTGGATGGAGGTACAAGAAGGTGGGGTCCTGGACACGCAGTACAGGTCCCCCAGTGAGGCATGAGGGCGGAGGGAATGTGGTCTGTGGCCTGGCGTGTGTTTGTGCTGACTGTGCGTCCCAATGAGGGAGCGCAATCCCTTCTGCACGTGCAGACACACGGGAGAGGTGGGGCCGCCCCCCCGAGACCCCACGCCCATGTGGGGCCCTGAAGCTGCTGTGCACAGAGAGAAAGGCACCTGCACACCCCGTTACTAGCACGCGCACCCTGGACGTTGTGCAGTCAGACCCCTCAGGCCCCGAGCAGCCCACTCATCGCCAGGTGCCCTCGTTACAGGGGAGGAGGCTGGGGTTGGGGTACAGGGAGGCCACACACCTGCCCGGGACACAGAGGTAGTGAGATGAGTCCAGCATGGTGGGACTGGCCTGGTCCCCTCAGCTTGCCTGCACCCCACTCGCCTCCTGCTTCTGGAGCTCCAGAGAGTTCCTGTGAGTCTGGAGCCCCAGCCCCCGTCATTTTGTGGGTTTTCTTTTTTGTTTTTTGGGCTTTTTTTTTTTTTTTTTTTAGTTTTACAATCCATTTAATTGCAATTGGTAATCAAATTAGCAATGGTTATCTTCAAAAGTCACTAACACTTGCTGTGTTGTCATTTTTCAAGGATGAGCAGATATCTAGAGTCATAGACGTTTCCCACATAAGATGCATCAGAGGGGTGTCAAGGCGGCTCAGTGGGTTGAGCGCCCAACTCTTGGTTTCTGCTCAGGCCGTGATCATGGGCTCGTGGGATCGAGCCCCACGTCGGGCTCTGTGCTCAGTGCAGAGTCAGCTTGAGATTCTTAACGCCACCTCCCCCCTGCCCCTCCCCCTGCTTGCGCATGGACACATGTTGTTCCTCTCAAATAAATAAATAAAATCTTAAAAAAAAAGAAAAAGAAAAAGATGCATCATATAAGTCAGACGTGGTCTATCACCAGCATTGATAAAACCAGACCTAGGGAAAGAACTAGGTCTGGGGACACAGGCACAGTGCTTAACATAGCAAATGTTTAGCCTGTCCTGATTATTACAAAATCAAAACAGCAAGAATATTCACTAGCCCCGTTACTTTGGATCACATGTCTGTAGGGGGCTCTGTACCTGTTGCAGGCAAGGTGTGCCACCACCTCCCACCACCACCAAGCCGATGTCCCTGAAAGACAGGGGTCTTTGGAGAATTATCTGCCCTTCCGTTCCCTGAGGGATTTGGCCTATTTCAGCATTTTTCCCCAGCAGAGTTTGTAGCAAATGCATCAGCTGAGTTCTTGCTAGTGCCTTCTCTCCTTGGCCTATGTTCTGTTCCAGCCTCCTGGGGGCTCCAGGGGGGCACCCATAGCCCTCCACACATGGCCCCCTTCTCCCAGGAGAACTAGGACCACTCAGAGTCCCTAAGGACACAGTGCAGTGGGTCACCTCCACAAGGAGGCTCAATGCTCTGCTTGGAGGGATCAGCTTCCCCCCTTTATTTATTTAAATCATTTATCCCTGGGTGGCCTTTGACGGCTGCTGGGTCAGCTTTATCCAGCTCCCCTACAGGTGATGTCTGGAGACCCTGCTCCATCCACTACCCCCAGATTCTAGCTGGGGGCCACAGGCCTGGGCACAGAATATGAGTTAGGAGTGACCCTTCCCACACAGGACTGTGGGGCCCACTCCAGACACCCAAACCTCCCCAGGGCCCTTCCCATCCCGAGGTGTGTGTGCTGGGCCCTGAGGGGTGGGGGGGAGTAGCTGCAGTGCCCTGTGTGCCTGTCCTTTCCATGCACATGATGGCCAGGCGGGCGGGAGCTTTGTCGCGTAGCAGAGAAGCTCGGGCTGCTTTGTGGGCTGGGAGGCCGTGAACCCTACAAGCTGAGTGGCAAGCCTGAGAAGAGGGGCCTGTGGTGTGGGCTGGTTCCGGCAGCTCTCAAGAGAGGGCTTTCCAGAAAGGGGGGCTGTCTTCAGGCCAGGCCCCTGGGCAGCATGTGCCCTGCCCTCTCACGGTGATGAGGTGCAGATGTGAGTAGGGCGGGCGGGGACAACAGGAAGCGCTGGAGCTCTGGTGGGCTGGCCCCTGTCCAAAACCCAGAGCTTCACGTCCTGCGTTGGGGCCCTTCCCAGCCGGTGGGTCTCCGGCTGCTCTTCCAATACTCACTTCCCACCTCCCCCCCAGCTTGGTGAAGGCCACTGCTTGCTTCCCACCCCCCACCAGCTTGGTGGAGGCCACTGGTGGCCCTGCTCAGAGGGTGGCGTGGGAGCAGCCTGGCCTTCAGCGACCCGTCCCGCTCGTGCACACAGCAGGCTCAACAGCGTTAGCCCAGGGAGGCACAGGGAAACCGAATCAGGGAAGGGCTCTGGGACGGCCACCAGTTTCTCTGCTTGTTTGGGTTTTCCACTTGAATCGTATGCAGATATCAGCCACCTGTTTTCTGGACTCAGCAGAGGGTGGGAAAGGGCATGGAGGCACAAGAGACCTCGTCCACACCCCCACGTGGGTCCCTGAGACCCTGGGGTGTGGAGTATCTTAAAGAGGGTTCCCACGTGGAACCCACTTGGAAAGGGAGAAAGGAAGGGCTTGTGTCTGGTCGGCGCCTTGCTGTGTTGAGCCCCGCAGGGGCCCGTGAGCTTGAGAACAAGGACGGAGTCCTGGGGACGTGCAGGATCATCCCCAGGACCCCAGCCTCTATTCAGCCCAGGCCAGGGGCCCACCAGCAGACCCCACACTGGGCATCATGCACTGGTCCTCAGGGGCATCAGGGTTGGGGGTCCCCACCCCCTTCCCCAGGCCCGCTGGGGTGTGAAGGCTCTACAGCCCCTTCTCCCTATGGGGCCCCTGCCGGAGAGCAGTTCCAGCACCTCCGTGGCTCCACAGAGGGTGCAGGCAGGCGTAGAGCAAGGACGTTTGACGAGCAGACGGCCACCAAGGCAGGGAGGAAAGTGGATGTGTGGGAGGCCTGAGAGGGTCTGTGGGGACACAGGTGGCCTTCAGCCAAGGGAGGGGTGGGGGCCCTGGTTTGCCATGTTGCTGTGTCCGGTATGCGTCTTGCGGGGTGACAGGGGTGCGAGGGCTGCAAGCTCACGGAGCTGCCACATCCCCTGGCACAGTGAGGCAGTCTGGGAGAACATGGCGCGCATGTGCGTGAAGACCCAGCGGCTGGACGTCGCCAAGGTGTGCCTGGGAAACATGGGCCATGCGCGTGGAGCACGAGCCCTGCGGGAGGCTGAGCAGGAACCAGAGCTGGAGGCCAGGGTGGCCATGCTGGCCATACAGCTGGGCATGCTGGTGAGTCGGGTGCCGCCCCAGCATGGGCAGGCGGGCAGAGGGAAGGCACTGGCCTCACAAGGGGGGCCATGGCCTATGCGTGTCTGGGCCACTCGGTAGCAGGGAACAGAAACCCCCTCAAAGGAGCTTGAGCGAAAAAGCAGAGCAAAGCCTCTCTCCTCTCCGGGGCCCTCCCCGTCTCCTGCACATGCATGAGCTCATGGTCCATCATGCACCTGGGGGACCAGGCAGGGAGGGGGCAGGCAGACACCCAAGTCAGCTCCTGGTCCACAGGACACTGTGGTGGGTGGGGTCTCCTCCCCAGAATGCAGGGCAGCCCCCCAGCCTTCTCGGCTGACACCTAAGTCAGTCTTGCTTTCTTGCTGTGGGACAGAATGCTGCAATGGCGTGTGACGTCACTGCGTGCGGGGGCACATGGGCAGCTCTCCTGGAGCCCAAGGGCTGATGCATGCTCTCCCACCTCCAGGAGGATGCCGAGCAGCTGTACAGGAAGTGCGGGCGCTATGACCTCCTGAACAAGCTGTACCAGGCCTCTGACCAGTGGCAGAAGGCCGTGGAGGTCGCGGAGCTCCACGACCGCATCCACCTGCGTACCACCTACTACAACTATGCCAGGCACCTTGAGGCCAGCGCTGACCGCGGCCTGGCCCTCAGCTAGTGAGTGTGGGGCCCCGTCCGGACTCAGCCAGGATGGACCCGCTTGCCTCCGGCTTCCCCCTCTGCCCCAGTGAGGTGCCCATAGAGTTACCTAGGGGGAGCTTCTAGACTGAGGCACTACCTCAGGGCAGGTGGTGGCTTTCCAGGTCTGCAGGGGACCTTGAGCTCGGTCTCATCAGGAGAACCTCAGACAGCCCGCCTCCCAGCCCGTGCCGGGTCAGGTCGCTGGGCCTGGGGTCGCTGGCTGTGCCATGGCAGCACCATGAGCCACTGGGCGCCGCCGTGCGGTGCTGAGACCGTCGGGAGGAGTCGCTGTTTCCCTTCTGTTGCAGCTATGAAAAGTCAGACACCCACCGTTTCGAGGTGCCCAGGATGCTGTCGGAGGACCTGCACTCCCTGGAGCTCTACATCAATAAGATGAAGGACAAGTAAGTGTTGCTGCTGGATGTCAGGGCCAGTGGGCGGACCGTGGGTTTGCTGCAGGGCCCGGGGGCCTCCCTCCGTTGCTTCCTGTGGGAGAGTGTGAGGCCCTGCCAGGGCGGGGCCTTTCCTCCAGACCCCGGGCCCTCACTCCTGGCCGCGTCACCCAGCTCGCACGCTCCCTCCTGGCTGCTGGCCGTGTGAAGGCACGGTGAGGGTGGTGTTAGGGACCCGGGGTCCTTTCCAGGGGGCGCAGGGCCTGAGTGGGGCTGGTGGGCTCCTCCCAGGACCCTGTGGAGGTGGTGGGCCCAGTACCTGGAGAGCCAGGCAGAGATGGACGCGGCGCTGCGCTACTACGAGCTGGCACAGGACTATTTCTCCCTGGTCCGCATCTACTGCTTCCAGGGCAACATTCAGAAGGTAGGAGCATCCGGGGGGCCTGCCAGGGGTGGGGGGCAGAGGCAGAGCCCCAAGCCTGCTGCTCTCTTTCCAGGCTGCTGAGATAGCCAACGAGAGTGGAAACTGGGCGGCGTCCTATCACCTGGCCCGCCAGTACGAGAACCAGGAGGAGGTGAGGCAGGCTGTGTACTTCTACTCGCGGGCTCAGGCCTTCAACAACGCCATCCGCCTGTGCAAGGTAGGCGAGGCAGCGGGCACACTGCCTCTGACAGTCAAAGTCGGGCAGGCGGACAAAGGGGCCCTTGCTGTTGCCCACATTCACACAGAAAACGTGGAGAACGGTATGGTGGGTGCCATGTCCCCCACCCTGGAGGCCTGTTTCCACTGCGCCTGCTCCCACTGGTCTCAGCCCCCCGGGAGAGTTTGTGAAGTGCTGAATTCTGATTCTCGCTGAGAAGTCCTTTAGCCTTTAGCCACGGCTTTCCGGCAAGCACTCAGGCTGGCTCATTGCTCGTGGCCTGTAGGCAGCAGGAAGGACGTTCTGCATGCATGAAAGTGTTCCAACCCAGGGCTCAGAGAGCAATGTTCTGTTAATAGAAAAAGAAGGAAGCCCCCCAAAATGCTGGTACACAGACCGCATGTGACAGTCTGACACTGGTTAGAAACTATCGTCATGGGACGCCTGGGTGCCTCAGTCATTAAGCATCTGCCTTCTGCTCAGAGTCCTGGGATCCAGCCCTGCGTCGGGCTCCCTGCTCAGTGGGGACTCTGCTTCTCCCTCTCCCTCTGCTGCTCCCCCTACTTGTACTCACTCTCACTCCTTCTCAAATAAATAAATAAAATCTTAAGAAAGGAAGAAAGAAACCATAGTCAGGTGGACCTGCAGGATGCCAGAGTTGGGGTGGTGGGCTCCCCCAGGGCACCTTTAGCAAACGCGCACAGGAAGCCCTGGGCATCCCCCGCCCCCCACAGGAGAATGGCCTGGATGACCAGCTCATGAACCTGGCTCTGCTGAGCTCCCCCGAGGACATGACTGAGGCGGCGCTCTACTACGAGGACAAGGGCGAGCACGTGGACAGGGCGGTCATGCTGTACCACAAGGTGAGCGAGGGCAAGGACCCCGGGGCCTGTCTCAGTATCTGCCAGGGGGCCACTCGGGCGTTCTTGTGACCTGGGGCTTGGGCAGCTGCTCAGATTGCCCGCCGTCCACAGGCCGGCCACTTCTCCAAGGCCCTGGAGCTGGCCTTCGCCACCCAGCAGTTCGTGGCCCTGCAGCTCATAGCGGAGGACCTGGACGAGAGGTCGGACCCCGCCCTCCTGGCCCGCTGTTCAGACTTCTTCACTGAGCACAGCCAGTATGAGAAGGCAGTGCAGCTGCTGCTGGCTGCAAAGAAGGTACGGTTGGCAGTCCCCGCTCGGCACCCCTTCGGGCACCCAAGCTGGGGGCCGCCTTTTCCAGACGCGGTGGAGGTGGCTTCACCATCTCTCTCACGGTTACGATTTCACAAGAAGGCCATGGCTCCCGCCTGCCCTGGGTGAAGGAGCGCTAGGAGCAGGCTCGCCTCGCACAGCCGGTCCAGGGGGACACTCACTGCCCATTCCATAACCCCCATAACTAGGGAGGTGAATTCATCCTTTGTGTGTGTGGTAAAGTACACATAATGTAAAAGCTACCGTCTTCGCTGTTTTTGAGAGCACAGCTCAGTGTTGTCCAGTACACTCCCGTCAAGGTGAGAGCCGTCTCCGTGCACCTGCTTTCATCTTGCAAAGCTGAAATGCTGTCCCCGTCAAACGCCAGCTCCCCAGCCTCCACACCCACCATCTACCTTCTGTGTCAATGCATTGGACCACTCCAAGGACCGTATATAAGTGGAATCATACAGGATTTGTCCTGGGTCCGGCTTGTTTCCCTGAACGTCACGTCATCGGGGTTCATCCGTGTGGTAGCAGGTGTCAGGATGTCCTTCC